TTTTCATAGTAAACCGATTTCAAGTGAAAACAGATCAAATAAATTAGTCAAGTCTTAAATGTCAACATTAAAGATTTGACTAAGGTGGATATCAGATAACAAAGGGTTTAAATTTAAGGTTTGGTTGGGCCAGATCTGAAACTGGTCCGTGTGAAGTTCAGGAGAGACGCTCAGAGAAAACAAAACTGTGTTCATTTTGTAGAAATTTGTTCAAACTTCTTTGTTTGTTTTTTCTTTATTGCTGCCATCAGTGAAGGAGAGGTAAATATGCAAAATAATTTCTGTTTATCTGGTCGTGTGTAACTTTGAAACATGTTTTCCATCGACACAGCACTGGTGCGTAATCCACAACATGTCGATAGCTCTGCTGGAAACACTTGCATGAGTACCTACTGCAAGAATATTAACAACTGAAAAAAAGTTAAATTTAAAAAGAATATAAACAACGATTTTATCCCCGTGGAAGACACCCTGAATTGTTCTAGTGATTATGCGCCGTGTTGGTTGGAAGAGACTGAAGCAGTGAACACGATCGAGTCAGAGGCAGCAGATTAGCTGAGGATGAACATCGTCATGCTTATTGTGCCCGATGTTGCTTTTGTTCCTTTTTATCCAGGGACAGGATTGAGTTTCAGGATCTTTATCTCTTCATCAGCATTTTTAAGGGCTTCCTCTCTGCCAGCTCCTGTCCTCATCAGCAGTATCAGCTTCCCTTTGTTTGTTCTTCAGTGTTCGGTGTCTTTGTGTCCTCTTTCCTCCACAGTGTGAGAAATGGCTGAGAGGTCAATCCAGTCTTTTTATTTCCATCTTTTCCTTCACATCAGTCGATCAGATTACCAGAGTGACAGAGCAGATTAAAACCGAAGAAAAGCCCAGATAAGAAAAAGTTCATCAGATTAGAAACAAAAATGGAAAATAATGAGGACTCCTAGTCGAAGACAGCTAACTGAACATCCTCTCTGAGAGAATCTTTTCAATCACAGGCAGTCACGTCATTTAAGGCAAACGGGGCCTCGTTTATCTTCGGTCACGTGATGTTCTGAAGCACGATACGGGCCTCGACACAGGCTTCGTTTGGACACGCAACATCGACGTAACATCACACTTGGAAACAAAAAGCTAACACAGCTGGTTGGAAGCTCTGTGTGGCCTCCCTGACACGTTTTCTGGTTTATTCATAGCAGAACATGTGAAGAAACTGAAAATACCACCTTAAAGCTCTGTCAGGATGGCAGTAATCTAATACTTTTTACAGTATGTGGTTGGAGGAGGACAAAAACTGCCAAACAAACACTAACAAGTATTTTGTTTTACTGTTAATGTAAAAAAAAAAGGTTCATGCTTTTTAAGTTTCCTCCATTGTCACAGCAAACCAGTGATAAAATGTGGACAAGTTTAAAACTGAAAACAAGGTGAAGGTTAGAAAGTTGTACCCACCGAAACTGCCAATCACGCCCTTCACGTTCAAGTTCTCCAAGCTTTTTAACTTTTTTCCTGAAATAATTTCTAATTCTTCTGATTCCCTCAGTGCTGAAGAGATGAAGACTTGGGAAAAATACTGCTAAAAACCATCTCTTTCTCCTTTTTAGGATGAATCTCAGCATGTTTCATTATTGTGGATGAATGGGTCACATCATAAAGTGGGAGAAAAATCTCCTTCACACAGTCTAGTATATGTGACTAGATGGTAAAGACAGTAAAAGTTTACTAAGAGTCGTGCTGATGTGGTCTGAGGTCAGACACATCTGGGCTGCGTCAGTTCAGCTGCAGCAGATGTTGTGTGGGCTGTTTGTGGGTCAGATGCCACCTCAAACCTGACAGCGATTGTGAGGTGGACCTGGGCTCCATCGGTTAACACAAGGCCAAACGTGACAAAGAAGAAACGGGAAATACATCAAAGTGTTGCTCTGTGGATGCTCAGCTGAAGTCTCAGGCTACGTTCACACTGCAGGCGACTTTTCTGACCCTGTGCGACCCATATCCCATCATGGTGTGACGGCGTGAACGGCACAAATCCGATATTTTCAAATCCGACCTGGGTCACTTTCGTATGTGACACTGAATCCGATACATATCTGATGTTTCAGAAAGCGACTGCTGTTTGATGGTCATGTTGCATTAAATCCGTCTTTTACATCACTGACACAAGACAGACGCCAATTATCAGCCCCGGAGAAGACAAACGAGAAAGCATGGCGGCGTGTTTGCTGGCTCCATACATACCTCTGCACGGAGGCAGCAGCCACTGCTCCAACAAGGCCATTGTTAAAGCACGGGCTCTCTTTTTTTCTGTGTCCTTCTTTCTCTAATGAATCTGTCAAAATTCTGTCGGTTACGACTGTGCAGAAATTGACAGACTGCTGCAACAACACCTACTAACTCTGTAGCCGCTATTTTTCCGTGAACAGAGCGCACTGAGTATGATGTCTTCTTTTGCGCATGCAGGCCGCTTTGAGGGCCGTGAACCGTTCACACTAGAGTGCGTTTGCTGTCACATTTTATTTGTAGGGTAAGAAACCAGACAAAATAATTGGATTTAATCAAAAAATCGGAATTGAGCATCAGGACCGGCAGCGTGAACGTAGACTAAGTCTGTAGTTTGTGCTGTCTCGTTTCCCAGCTTTCCCCATCCTGCTCTGTGTCCCTGATGTGATAACTGTAGGGCTGATGTGCTGCTTTAAACACTAACTTTCTCTGAAACGCTGCTGCTGTCTGTAGTGAGCAGGAGGAGGAGATTGTGTTCGAGGAATTCAAGCGCTCCTACCTGAAGGGGATCATCGGCGATGATGACGACGAGGAAGGCAACGTTTCGGGTGGTGACGACATGGCGCCCAAAGAGAAATAGAGGAGAGAGAGTGAAAGAGGGTGAAACAAAGAATGCTGGGAGTTTGAGTTTGTGCTAGAAAAAGATTTAAAGGCGCATACCTGTGGTTGTGCATGTTTAACCTTCAGGTGTATTTTACATCACTGCAGGATGTTTTCATCCATCATCTCTATTTGATCTTCTGCTCGGTCTCCTTCAAGCTCCTGAGGAAACAAATATCTGTTTAGGTTCCAGATTTTGTGCTTTTGTTCATCAGGGCATAGCTGAAAAAACAAACCGGTGACCTAAAGCGAAATAAATGCGGCACAAACCTGCAGTGCTGCAGAATCACTTTGAGTTATTACCTTTGTAACTGCTTGTAAACACGTGGTTTCAGCCAGATTCAGAAATAAATAAATCCAACGTCTAAACCAATAGTCAGAGTCTTTAGACACCAGTGGACTTCAGATGTTAACATCAGATCTGAGGACAGAATAAAGACTTGGTGACAAATAATTTGAAGCTAGCATCCTGTTAAAATGCAGAACCACAGAAATGATCCTGATATTAAAAGTTTAAAAAAATCCTTTAACATTATTTAAAGGTTTGTTGTGTAGTGCTTTTGTTTTTTGGCTCCACTCTTCATGTTCAGATTTAAAGTCATTTCTGTGTCTTTTGAAAACTGCTGCAGACAGTTTCTGTTTTAATGAGGCTGAAACTGATTATAAAGGTGTTTCTGACTTTGAGTTCAGATTTACTGTAGAGACACTGATGTAGAAGGATCAATTCAATCTGGCCCTCAAACCAGACGTGTTTGTGCGACAGTGCACGTTTAAATCTGACAATAAAGCTAATTTATTCATTTCTTTGTTTCTTTGCTCATTTTCTGGTTTAAAGTTCTGAATGGCTGAAATGTGGGCGGGGCAGGAGCCGACGACTGGATCCAGCTGTTGTGTTACTGAGTCTTTATCTTACAATATAAAGTGCCGTGAGGCGACTGTTGTTGTGATTTGGTGCGATAAATAATGAAACTAAATTGAATGAAATGTTAAATAGATGAAGGATGTGGAAAATATGGATTCAGTCTCGGTCCTTCTCACCACTGTACAATAAATATTAAACCTGTTTATTTGTTAGTATATTTAATCAAAGTGTATTTACCTTCATATTAATTTAGCTCAATTATTCAGCTTTTGGACTTTTACTTCCTGGTTCTTATGTGTGACGGTCATGTGAGAAACAGAGGACTGATGTGGCATTCTTTAAACAAGTGCTTTGATATTTTTATTCTGCAGTTTCATCATCATCATCGTTTATATAGCGCTTTAAAAACACACCAAAGTGCTGAACGATAGAAACATAATAGATAAGAATAATAAATACGATAAAATAATAAACATAGCGAAAACAATAAAATATAAGTAAATACAAGTCAGTCAACCACTGAGTCAAAAGCCAGTGAAAAAATGTGTTTTCAATCTGGATCTAAAAACCAGCACTGATGTGAAGATTCAGTTTAACATGAATTGTTTTTAAAGCCGTGGAGACTCTTCGTTTATTGTGTCGTTCTCCAAGCCCGTCGATTCCTGCTGAAGTCTTTGCAGATGCATGTTCTAACAACAAATCCTGGTCATCAAATTGAACTAGTGCAGCATTAATTATTACACAATAAAATTCAACGTGGACATTTCACACCCCTGCTGATCCAGTTACTCAGGCTCCCAATTAACATTAAAATATTAGAAATTAAACCTCAGTGATTTCCTTCCAGCTCAGACTCTTCATCAGCAGATCTACATCAGCTCACACTGCACCGGACTCTTAACAGCATTCAAAACAAAACTTTTGTTATTGTGTGAGGTGAGTGTGAGTGTCATGAAATGCACAGTTAGACAAAATGTTGTATTCTTTTTGTAACAATCCATATTTAACAATCACCTTAAGTGAAAAATGATCATCGTTGGAGATTTTTTATTAGCAGATGAATTTGCAGTAAGTGCTGAATCAGAATAAACTGCAGTGTGTTAAAGTTTAGAGTTTGTTGGGAGCAGCCGGGCTCAATGTCTGGTTTTGCTCTGCACACGAGATTCATGTCACAAGTTAATTTTTGGACCAGGGGACCCAGAAAATGTGCTGCTGCTGAAAATAACTCAAACACAAAGTTTAAGTGAAAGTTTTTAATTTCAAACAAAGCCCACGATGCACAGATCGCAACAACCTGAAGCACAAACAGGCGACACGGTGTGGTCGCTGAAAGCACCTCAGAGAAGGTGAACGATGCTTTAACCTGTTACACATGCAACACACTCCGTTTACTGTCTGAATCCAAACACACGTCCAACATCACCTGATGGTGTCGCAGGTTTTACAGATTATACCTTTTACAAAGTGGAAGTTTAATGTTGCGAGACATCAGGCAGTGATAGTTTCACAGGAAGCTTCATTGTACAACCTTTGTTTTAAATCATATAATAAAAAAATAAAACCTTAAAAATAGCGAGAAAAGCCTTTAATCAGTTATCCTACATTCAAAATTAGATTTTCTTCAAAATTAAGAAAACATTAAGAAAATAATGGCACGTGTTCTCACTCTTTATATCTTTTAAAATATTCATGTGTACTGTGGAGATCTGTGGAGATTATGATTCTTTTACTTGATGAACCTGAAGAGAATTTCACTGATTTTGTGGAGAATTTGCCGGCACGTCTCATTGCCATGTCTTCAGCCTTCTTCATTTCTCGCTGTCTCGTTTGCGTCACAGCTCTGTTCCCGCTCCTTCACTGTAAACCTTTTAAAACCTACATCTCAACAGACCTGTGGTGATGTTATTCCATCGCCTGCAGCTGATCCACGTATTTACATTTTCTATCAAAAATATTAAAACCTCTGCTGCTAAATGAGCTTTCTGATAAAAGGGCGCTCTAACAGTTGATTAGTGCATGATCAAATGCTGGCATATACAAGCCCAGATGCATTTTCACATGAGTGTTGAATCATAGCCACATTTAAAAGGAGGGTATTATGGCTGTTCCATATCAATTTTCTTTCTTTTTTCCAATTCCGTGTCAGCTGATCCCAGCGGTCACTGGGTGTGAGGCAGGATACATCCTGGACACGCCTCCAATCTGTCACAGGGAATACACATCCTGTCTTTAAACTGTTGCAAGAAGACAGATAACTGAGAGGTTCGTCAAAGTCAGTAAGCACAAATCATTCAAATAGTGATTGAAGATATTTTAGTCGGAACCAGTACTTGAAGCCACTAGCATTACCAGTAAAACAGGACTTGATTTTAGGGGGAGTTTATTTTTGTCTCATCTAAGTGTGACATAAGAGACGAGAGATGTTTGCAGTCAGGAGAATGTTTGTTAGACATATGACTTCCAGGTGAAAACCTTTTAAAATTAGTATTCTGCAACATTGTAACGCTTTTTTATTTCATTTGACTTGTTTTTATTGTCCCAGGAAGAGTTGGAATTAAGGTTCACTTAGACAACGTTTGACAATAATTGCCTGGATATGCTAACATGCTAAGGGTTAAACAAATACTTCAAGAAGGATTTTGTGTGTTTATTGTTGGGTTTTTTTGCTGGCCTTTCCTTTTATGTGATGCCAGCTTCAACAACCAAACAGAATTAGATTTAACCCAAGAAATAAAACCTGATTTTTTTAATTGAGTAGTAACTACAGTGTGGTACAATGGTCCTACAGTAGAACTTGTATTCAGCATAACTCTGGTAGAAAAACCTATTTTAACAATTGTCATTGCTTCATTGATAGAATACCCCTCCTTTAAAACTTGCAGTTATAAAATCACTGAGAATTTGATTGGATGCTTGTTGTGCCTCATCTATAACTGTGCAACTGAAAAGAAACTAATTTGGTGGAGTGGTGGTAGGGTCGGGACCATCCCAGCTGTACCGTCCATGATGTGGCTGTGGGAAGTAGTGATTTCTGCCCAGAGGAAATTCGCAGGAGTCGGGGTGCAGCAGATACCCAGAGAACGTGCTAGTGCTTTCATTATCAGTGTACATGCCATTGGTGGTGGGGTCCTTCACCTGCAGCCAAACCTGGTCTCCCATGTAGAGGTGGAGGACCACCGTGTGGCTTGTGGTGGATGGGACGGTTCCTTCTGTTATTTTAGCCACAGGGTAGAAATTGCGGAACAGGCCGACTTTAAGTGGTTTCACGGCAACTGACAGGTGAAAGGAGAAGACGTAGGTGCCATTGACGGGGGCTATGTAGATGCCGTTTCGGTTAAGGTGGTTTTGCTGGTTGGTAAGGATGTGTGGGAAAGGAATGGGAAAATTGTGAGCTGGAAATGACTCATTGATACAGGCGGAGAATGCTGACTGGATGGCTGGAGAGCAGGGCCCAGGTGGCCCCATGAGACCCATATCACCCTGGTTGCCTTTTGACCCCATGGTGCCCTGTATACCCTGGGAACCAATATCACCCTTGTCCCCTTTGTCTCCCTTTTGCCCTGGTTTGCCATCAGCACCATTTGTTCCATTTGTGCACTTACACACCCCCTGGTCACCTCGATCACCCTTCTCACCATCGTTGCCAGGGTTTCCAGGCAAACCCATGTCACCCCTATCACCTTTTATGCCCCTGGGTCCATCAGGACCCTGCACCCCTGGCAGGCCACGGGCTCCAGCTGGTCCAGGTGGTCCTTGAGTACCAGGTGCACCTGGCACACTCTCGCAGGTGGCAGGGCATATACCAGATTCCCCCTGAGGGCCCGATGCACCAGGGGGTCCCATTGATCCTTGGTCCCCTTTGTCCCCTGGAAACAGCCACAGCATACATCAAGAATACGATCAAGTTTAACACTTTATTTTACTGAACAATTTCCAACAGTATTTACTCAGGTGGGTTAAATCCTAAAGAATCCCCACATTTCTCTCCATTTTCTGTATGTAGACTGATGAAGCTGGCCAGTTTGCCCAGAATCCATCAGGATCTTTCCAGGATGTACTTTGGAATTACAATCGTCCACTCAAATCATCTCATTTTTATGCCTGAACCCAAACCTTACCCACCCTGCACTAATGTTAAATCATTAAACCATCATAAAATTACATTCACACAAAGCACTGACAGGTATTATTTCCTGCTTTAATAATATCCATGTATTACCAATCACGCTTTAAATAGGGTGACCTTCTCCATAATGCCATGTAGACCCACCTTTAAATCCCCGATCTCCCTTTGTGCCAGTGAAACCTGCTGCACCTTGCATTCCCTTTTCCCCCATTTCTCCCTTCTGGCCTGTAAACAGAGAAGACAAAGGTGAGTTGATATTTTATTGAGTGAAAAACCAACAATTCTAAGTTTAAGCTTATTAGCTTTTTTGAAAGATACATTTAAAGATGACAACAGGTTAGAGGAACAAAAAAGAAAAAAATGAGATTCAGTTTGTGGTGTTTTAAGGTGGATTTCATTCAGTATCGATAGAAAAGTACGTGAGGAGAAGAAGCATAAATTCAAATCACAGGAAGTCAGTGTCTCATTTTCTTCCCCTCTTAATTTCAGCGTTGCTTTGTGTTGCAACTCGGTTTGATTAGTTCAGTGTGGAAAGTAAAAAAAACACCTTTATGTTAAAGACCCTGATTATTGTAAATGTGCTTCTTCACACACCCCTCTGGTGTGTAACTCACCTTTTATCCCCTGAGAGCCTGTAAACCCTCTGGGACCTGGAAACCCCATCAATCCTCTACTTCCAGCGCTCCCGGGAGGACCTGATCAAAAGTTAAAGACAGGTTACTTTCAATATAATCAGATATTTGAATTTGAATTAAATCACTAAAGAGGAATCATCCTCCAAACCTTGCTGTCTGCCTTGCTTCAAACTTTAAATCCTTGACATTTGTTCAGACATTAATGATTTTCAAGTTTTACATTTTAATCGTTGTTTTTAGTTTGAGGTGCTTTGAGTGATCAGGTTACCTGGAAGACCTCGGTCTCCGCGGTCTCCTTTGGGTCCTACGGTTCCTTTGCAGTATTTACAGATGCAAAAAAATGGAATCTGGTCGGCGGGCGGGGGTACCGGTGCATTTAGCAGCATGTCACAGATTGTTGTGTCAGGCATGGGTGGTAAAGGTGGGTTACTGACCCCAAACATTCTGGGCATGTTGGGACCTTCAGAGTTGTTGCCATAGTGTGGAAATGGGGGTCCTGTTGGAGGCATCATAAGAGGCCCGCTGCGTGCCTCGGGTGGCCACGATGGGATTCCCGTTGGCTGATCAGTCTTCTTAGAAGTCTCATTAAACTGCCTGTCAACTGATTCAGGCCAGTGGTGGGTGTTGGGATCATATGTGGAGCCTTCCTCTTCACTAATGTATTGTCTGGTGTAGTTTTGCACCCACATGGCTGAGCAGAGGGTGGACAAGACAAGCAGTCCGAGCAACCTCGTCAGCATCTGGAGAAGGAAGAAGGAAGAAGATGCATTTGGTACTTAGAGGTCAGAAATGTAAAATCTGTTGTCAAACATCCTGAGAGTGTAAAGATACTAAAACAGGACTGATGTGATCGCATCTCTCGAGCTCTGTCGTGTTCAGTGGATTTCATGTTCAGTAGTAAACAGGCCGTTAAAGTAATTCAGACCCGATGAGATAAAAGTGCACAAAATAGTCTCGTTTTCAAAAAAATATTAAATAAGATTTGCTTCTGAAACTATTTAAGCACGCCTGCATTAGATTTGAGCTGTGCTGTTCAAAATGGAAGAAATAAATATTCAAGAAATGGAAAACTCTTTGCAAAAGACTTGATAATGAAGAGAACCAGCTGATTGTTAACAGTTTCACAACTGATGATTTCTGTTTTTAGATCAACTAAAATGATGCTGTTGTAAAAAGGCAGCTTTTAAGAGAAGCCAACATTCCAGTGTTGGAGTGTTTAGGTACATGCATGTGTCATCAGCACAGAAACGCTAAGAGACGCTGTGTCTGTGACATTTATGCCCCGAGTGGAGACGAGAAGAGCATGAAATCGATCCCAGAGCTGGCCCCTGTGGCACACCACACAGATATAAAAGCACAAGTGTCCTATGTGACAAACGCTAACAAAAAACTGTGGACACTCAACACGATGCCCTCACGGACACATCCTGGTCTGTTTCATAAGATCAGTTTTAAATAATCATTCAAGTCCGACAAAAGATTTGTGAACTAAAGACATTAAAATGTTTTAAAAACACAATTTTTACTGTCACTTGTATAAAAAGTTTTCAGTCTGGATGAAACAGGCAGTTGAATTTTGAAAGTTTTAGTCTTTTTTGATGCATACGTTTAAAAAAATAACCTAAATTGCTCTCAGACTTGAAAATAAAATCCTCTGAGATGCTTTGGAGAGACTCACCGCCACATCCGAGTTGTGCTGCATCTTCTGGAGAAGCAGATTTGGGAAGATGAGCAAGCTGGAAGAGGCTTTGATGCATTTATAAGCCTCGGCCAAAACAAAACATCTTTCAGGTTCAGTCTCACCTGCAGACAAAGGCTGGAAACACGGGGAGGAGGGCAGCTACAGCAGGGATGTCTATTGTGAAGAAGAACTGGGCGTTCTGCCTGCGACATGATACAGAAAGAAGAGATGATTCTCTGTTTATCGTGCCATCTTTCTCCACCCTCCATTTTCTCTCATCCTTTAAAAAACACATTTAATATTTAATATTTCCTTTCCACACCTGTAGCTGAAGCAATCACACCAATAGTGACATAAAAAAACCTAAACAACATGAAAGACTAAAGAAAATGAGTCTGTTTAGTTTTCTTAGAATCAAACCATTGATGTGTATCTGTGCAACTCATGTTTGAATGAGTGAGGAACAAGTCAGAACCAAAACTGTGTTGTCATATTGATGCAACAGCAGGTGCTTTATCGTCCCTGTGACCACCTGGCAGTGGTTTGATCCACTCTTTACCATTATCAGATTATTGACTAGATTAGTCGTTCATGCTTCAATGTTGCTGGGCAGGCACGCACCTCCAGGTTCAGGTTTATGGAAGCAGGAGGTCTGGCCACTGTTGTTCCTTTGGATTTTATATAATTTTCTGTTAGATCCACAAAGGTTTTCTCATTTTTCTGATTTCTCAGAACACCCATCGTCTAGTTTTTGCCACCTCTTTAAAAAAGAATCCTGTAAACTTTGTCTGTGATTGTAAACCAAAAGCTGTGTGGCACAAATGAATTATGTGTCTATTATTTCTGACTAACTTCTATTTTATCATTAGGTTCAAATGATTAAGTACAAACAAGTACCGCAGTCGCCACATAGTGATGAAGTTGTAATAATTTACTCAGCATGATGTTCAACAATGCAGTAATCTAACACTGAGGAGGCAGCCAGGCTTCACAAAGGGCAGCCTACTTTTTATTAGCACATTTTACTGCACAACAATGATTTTATTCTATGAAAACATCTCATGAGACTGTCTCCATACACAATATTACAAAAACTAATTATACGCCTGGGAAGAAAAACAACTTGTAGCTGAAATTTAAAACTGGCCTAATTTTAAGAGCAATGACACAATGAACATAAAGTTTAAACTGCAGGTATTGAGTCTGTACTTTTATTGAATCGAACCTCAGATGCTCCGGTTTATTGCTGCACCGAAGTATTTGAGTACTCTCTGTCCTGTTTACCACGCTCTCGTTGTTTCTTTCTTTTTTCAGCATCGATGTGTGAAGTTCAGATTGCCATGATTTTCTCAGTAAAATGCTTTTTATTCTATTAACACTCAGACAAGTCCATCAGGGTTGAGTACTTTGACCACTTAGACATGTGGAAGACAACAGGTCTAATTTAATTTCCTGCTGGTGGAGAACCCTTACAACATGTGGCTTTTTATTTATTTTTAGTAAAACCAAGCTTTTATTTGATTTGTTTTTTTTATGGCAGCTTCAAGAGGGCGATATAGCTGTCAAATGTGGTGCTGCGTCCCTGGAACTAGTTATTTTGAAGTAATGTATAAATAAAATACTAGAATTTTGTATATTTAGCACAGTGTTACCTCCAGGCCTGGTGGGTATCCACCTCAAAGCACCCAAACATTACAGTTCAGCAGAACTGGATTAGTCGAGTTCGTTAAAAACTCGCCTAGTTGGGTAAAATTAGCTATAGAGACCAAAACCATCTTTAGTAGCATGTAGCCTGTAAACATGTTTATTTCTGCTCTGAACTGGAGCTTTTTAACATGTGAGTTTACTGGGACTGAGTCACTTTGGAGCCAGCCTCAAGTGGCCACTATAGGAACTGCAGCTTCTGGTTGGCAGTTCTGTACTGGTTTTACTGGGGGTAGGTAAACCTCCAGGGCAGTGGTTCTTAACCTGGGTGCGATCGAACCCTAGGGGTTCGGTGAGTCGGTCTCAGGGGTTCGGCAGAGCCTCTGCCGTGACATGCTCGGCTCATTTTGTACACCAGTAAAAAACATATGTATGTCTTGAATTTGAAAAAAAAAATCGTATTTTATTTTTCACTGAAGAGGGGTTCATATGAAACTGGGGGGGTTCAGTACCTCCAACAAGGTTAAGAACCACTGCTCCAGGGTTAAACCGGTGTTGCCAAAATCTTTCTTTGCTTCTGACAGGATACTTAAAGTAATAATAGATTTACCATCAATGATAAACTATGTGCAGTCTGATCATGAAGTAAAGATATACAACGCAGCAGGGAGCAAGCCAGGTCTCTCACCAGCGCAGGAAGGCCACACCCACCCACGTCACTTTCAAAATCACTAAAATCGCCTGTGGAACCAGAGATGGCTCCTTTATGTCCTGAGGGCAGCTTTTATTCAGAAAAAATGAAAACAGCTGAGGACACACGAGTAAACCAAGCTGAGGGAATGAGGCTGAGGCACAAAGGAGGACACGGAGATGAATGGTTAACCTTAATAAGTGCCCTGGTTTCCACAGCAGGCGGTGCTCAGAGACACTGTGGAGGCTGGCCTGGGTTCACGCCTGTAACCGCTCGCTCTCTGGGTGTTTCCGGCAGCTGACGACGAGACCGGCTCTTTACTTCGGAAGCTTTTATGGATTTCTCCTCCGAAAAACAAACACAAAAGCTGTTTTAACTCAGACATGTCATGTTTTTAGAGGGTCACGTGACAGCTTCTTTTCATGGAGTCTCTCATCCAATTATGGTCGTTTCTGGCTTTGAGAAGACAAAAATGAACAAAAACTAATGTCAAGGCTGAGGGTTCAGAAAGGTGCTCACAAAGTCATCTAATAGCAAAATCTTACAGCTTCTCTTTCACGTACTCTGTCCTGATATATGTTCATTCTTGTGGTTTAATTAAAACAGTGTCAAATACTTGAGTGAATGAATTTATCTATAAATCCTGATGTGAACTGTTTCCTGGGGGAAACCCCTAAAACCTTTTGGCTTTGGTTCAAATCATTACAATCAGCTGATTCCTGTTAAGTGCCGGCTCTGCTTGGAAACCAGCATTTAGGGATAAGACTGTTCTATGACCAGAATAAAGCTCGTCCTGGACACTGGATCTCCAGGAGATAAATGTCAGTCAGTGCTCTGTCCTCTTTCAGAGACAAAAAGCTTTTCTTCCTTATTCTTTCTTGTTAGAAACTGTTCTCCTCCTTCTATTTGGACTTTAATATCTTTCCAATCAGAGGATTATTAGTTATGTGATGCCAGTCTCTTTATACTCTTTCTGTGCTTGTTCCATAATTGTAATTGAAAAAGGTCTGCTAAAGTCCTGCTTTTCCTGCTAACTGAGCCAATGCGTCACATTTGTGTAAAACGTGCCTTCTTCCTTGTCTGGATTTTTCTTAACAATATTCTATGTTAAAAAATATTAAAGATCAATAAAATGTTTTTAAAAATAAAAAATTACATTGAAAACAAACTAATATTACACTGAAACAAAATAGCTGTATGTAAATGTGTTGAGGATGGCCACAAACCTCACAGACTATGTTTAAATGTCTAACAGCGTCAGCCTGAAGCTGATACTGAAGTGTAAAACTGCAGCCCAGAATGACCTCTCCACCCTGTTTGTGCTGTTGGTGACTGTTGGAGCCTCCAGCAGGTCTGTGCTCCAGCTTTTTGTGTGTGTGACTCAGTGATGTGCTGGTTAGTGCTGCCTGTCGGGACCTTCCTGTGTTCTCTCATCTCCATAGTCCAAAGACACAAATGTTGGTTAATCAGTGATTGCAAATCGGCTCCAGGTATTTTTTATTATTAGTCCTTTATTTATCCAGGTAAAAAATCTCATTGAGATTAAAAATCTCATTTCCAAGAGAGACCTGTCATCATGGCAACAAAAGTCACATACCACATAGGTATATAACATTTAAAACAAATACAATATCCCATACCAACATGTGTAAAATATACAATAACAGATCAAATTAAGAGTACATTAAAAACAATCACACTGAGTGAAAGAGCTGTTCTCTCGTTCCTTTAAGACAGACTTAAACTCTCCCAAGGTAACCAATTCTGATCATTTCAGTTCCTTCTGCAGATTATTCCAGGAAGCAGGGGCAGCGTATTTAAAAGCCTTTTTCCCCAATTCTGTTCTGATTTTTGGGACAATCAATTGTATGATATTGTGCGAACGAAGGCTGTATTGGTTGTGGTTTTTACACATATAAACACATAAATAAGATGGAATCAGCCCAAGGAGAGATTTATAGATAAAGATCAACCAATGGGAGAGTCTGCGAATATGCAAAGATGGACATTTAGCAGCAGCATACAAAGAACAATGATGTACACGATTTCCATAGTCAGTAATAAAACGTAAAGCACAATGGTACACAGTATCCAACCTCTTTAGGTAGTGGGCAGGTGCATTCATAAAAAGCAGGTCACCATAATCCAATAAAGGTAAAAAGGTTGCACGAATCAAACGTTTTCTCACTTGGAGGGAGAAACAGGATTGGTTTCTAAAAAAGTAACCTAGTTTTAGTTTTAACTTCGACACAAGCCTTTGAATGTGAGTCTTAAATGACAAATTCTGATCTATAATGATCCCTAGATACTTGTAAGACAGGGCTGCCCAATCCCGGTCCTCGAGAGCTACCGTCCTGCAGCTTTTAGATGCATCCCTACTCCAACACAGCTGAATCAAATGGTTTGATTACCTCTTCAGCATGCCATCGTGTTTGGCAAAGGCCTGATAACAAGCCATTCATTTGATTCAGCTGTGTTGGAGTAGGGATGCATCTAAAAGCTGCAGGATAGTAGCTCTCGAGGACTGGGATTGGGCAGCCCTGTTGTAAGATGTGACCATTTCAATTTCAGTTCCTTGAATTGTTTTAATCTTAGGAGACGTAGCTAATGACTCTTTGGGTGTGAGTGTGTCCTGCCGCTCACACTGTGGCAGCTGGGAAAGGCTCCCGCCTGGTTCCTCTGCAGGGACTTTACATTACCCAAGCATGGTTTCTTCCTGTTAAAGGAGGAATTTTTCCTTCCTGCGTTTTGTGATTTGATCTTGTATAAATAAAATTGAATTGAATTGAAAACCAGATGGTGAATTTTAAAGGAAAGGATACCAGGCTGAAAACGCTACGCCCAGGTGAACAGAATCCACTTTTTGGGATTTCCTTACCTGGATGATTGAGGATGCATCCAGGAATACTTGGCTGTGGTGTCTCCAGCTGTTTGTGCCCACAGCAAAGTGTGATGAAGGTTATAACCAACATGTCTGTCTCTCAATGCATCTCACAGACTGAGCTTGCTAGCGTTAGATGATAACTTAGCAACTCCAAACAGCCAACATTATCTTTTGCTTTTAGTCATACCAAGGTCTAGTCTGGTTCACAGGCTTTGGGCTTTGTTCAGTATCTTTACAGATGTCTTGTAGGGTCATAGGTGTTCATGCTTCCAAAGACAGTGATTTAAATGATAGAGACGTGAAGACTTCATCCACGTCCATGTTTGTGGTGAATAACCACAGATCTATTGTGTGGTGGGTACACAGTGAAAAGTCCCACACTATCGTCGTCCTGCTAGTGTCTGGAGGTTTGTAACATTTTGTGAAAATGAGGTCTGATGTGTAGCAGAGTGGGTGGAGGCTAAAGGGCAGGTCTGTGTTGACAGTGTTGGTGGACAGCGATCAGCTGCAGACTGTGGACTCTCAGTAAACACTGGGAGTTAGTTATTAACACAGCAGAAACAGCGAAGCATCGTCTCTGTCCACGGCTTCCATTCTTCACATGTAAGTACCAAAACTCTCCTGAAAGCCCCTCGTTTCTCCGTGACTCTGTTTCATGTCCTGTGAACGTTTTAGGATGTTGTCTCTGTGGCCCTGTTGTTAGCTCACAAGGTCAAAGGTTGTAGAGGTTCACACGGTGATCGTGTCCTGCTGTGCCCCTCTGACTGGAGGCCTCTGTGTTCCCTGCTGATCAATCTTGTAGAAATATTCCACTGAGAGATTTTTTTTAACTCGCAGTGAGGACTCGGTTTTGTCTCGTCTGCAGCTCCTCCAGAACTCAACTTTTCAACCCCTTAAATCTGTAAGTGTCATTATGCTGGATGTTAATGCTAACTGGATAAACACAAGCAGTAAAGACATAAATGTCTGATTTCCTGCAGGAGTGATCGAGGTCATGTCCCGCCTCGCCCTCTGTCTGTGTGTCGTCGTTGCTCTGTGGTCGGCGTCAGTCATCAGTCTGTCAGGTGGGTGTGATCAAAGACGAACGGGATAAGTAAACATCAATACGTCTGTAAAAGAAAGAAGAGACACGGAGGTTAGGTAGCCACAGATTTTCTGTTACACGGGTGTCTTGGAGTCTCACTGAATTAAATAAACCTGACAAACTTTTCCAGATTTGTGGGGAAATAATGTGAGAGCTTCACTGTCAGCAGGTCAGCCGTGGAATACGTTTTAGCAACAAAGCATTCATCTGCCAAGAAAGTGAACCTATGGTGCTTTTACCTGTTCCTCAACTGGGCGCTCATATTAAACATGGACAAAGTTTCAGGTAATGAGGTCAGCGTGCACACCTACCTGATCCTGAGCCAATCAGAAGAAAGCTGGCTCCAGTGGACGGTGACCTTAAAGCAGCGGTCCCCAACCTCTTTTGCGCCACGGACCGGTTTATGCCCGACATTATTTTCACGGACCGGCCTTTAAAGTGTCGCGGATAAATACAACAAAATAAAACCGGTACTGAAAAAAAGATTTATTCATAGCACACGTGAAAAGACCCAGGAAAACCGAGTTAACGATAAAAACGATAACAAAATAACGCTGAAAACCAATAAAAAGCCTGAAAACCATACATTTCACACCTGAACCTCAACTCTCGCGGCCCGGTACCAAACGACTCACGGACCGGTACCGGTCCGAGGCCCGGGGGTCGGGGAACGCTGCCTTAAAGGGAGCCAAAACGGTTTCACACAAAACATGAAGTGAGGGGACCCAAAGCCAGTATAAGACAAAAATATAGTTTAGAAAGATGAATCACGCAAACTGGTGTAGAAAAGTCCAAGTCTTAAGAAAATCTAACTGGAAATGAGCAAAATAGAATCACTTTGAATTGATTACAGTTTCAGAATAAATGCCTGTTCAGTTCTTACAGTTTGCAGACTGTATAATATAATATAATATAATATAATATAATATAATATAATATAATATAATATAATATAATATAATATAATATAATTCTCTCTCCTCTGGGAGATGCTTCAGTCTATTGAACAACTCAGACTGTCCAGATGCTCGCTGATGTCCTGGTCCAGATCTCTCCATTTGTCGTCTCATTAGGAACATTTTCCAGGCATGCATACAACACACGGGAATCACATGAATTGATGAGAGTAAATTCACAGAATCCCAAAGATTTAAGTCCAAATGACAACAAAGTGCTTTCCAAAAATGTGATGTTTGGGGAAAAAACAGTTAAAGAAGCCGTTGTCTTAGCACTGGTCTGCATCACTGTTTCACTCTTTCTGTGTGTTCAGTATTCTCGGACCCACGACGGGCTCACATGCTGCTTCGCTCTCGTCGGGCGAACTCCTTCCTGGAGGAGCTGAAACCAGGAAACCTGGAGCGAGAATGTAATGAGGAGAAATGCAGCTTTGAAGAGGCCAGAGAGATTTTCCAGACCAGAGAAGCTACGGTAAGATGTCTCTTTAACACACCGTAGATCAAAATAAGCAAAAATATCTGGCTTTTTGATTTATGGCTGATGAGAACATGACACAGTAGTGTCGACTTGACAAATACCCACAGGAGGTGTGTGTGTGTTGTTCTGCAGCGATGACCAGATGAGTGCGATTGGTGATGTTTGTTTCTGTGTCTTTACAGCTGGAGTTTTGGACAGTTTACTTAGGTAAGACAAGTTTGTTCAGCTTGACAGTGAAAACATACTAAATATCAGCTTTAAAAATAATACCATGTATAAATTATTAAATATTATTTTAATATTTCTGATGACTGGAATGTGAATGATGTGTAGACTGAGGAGAATTCAGGACAAGGTTCTTCACAGGCTGCATCGTTTATTTCTTGGGATGGGGTGTGATATGCTTGCCTGATTACCCAAAAGCACAAGATTACAGTACATTTACAACAATACGACATCAAATACGATTTAGCCTGCTTCTGTCTTCCTCCCAAAGCGTCACTAAGGCGAGGCTTTTGACATCTTCTTTCTTTGCAGATAGTCATGGGAAAAATACTCAAGTTATCTGACTGTATTTCAGATGGGAACCAGTGTGAGTCCAACAAGTGCAGTCATGGAGACTGTGTGGATATGCTCCGAGCCTACGCTTGCCGCTGTCACTCTGGATATGAGGGCAAATACTGTGAATATCGTGAGTCAGAGTGTCTTTGGTTACCTAGGAGCATTTCTAACGTTATATTAAAAAAAGACTACAAAAGTGAAGCAAGGAGTGTTCAATATAATGAAACTGCATCAAGCAACAAACCACATCTTTAATTAAACCTTGAGAATCAACAAAAAGAATACAAATTACCCACTGTGCACACAAACGAACCTAAGTAACAAAGCATTTACGAGGGTTATTTTTTTGCTAAAACTTGTTAGTGAGACTTTGTCTGGCAGCTGGACGTAGCTGCTGTTTGATTTCTTTTACAGGCGGAGTCACATCAATGTAACATTCACTAAAACTTAATGTGAAACCTGAAAAGTTCCCGTGTTCCTGTTTCCCATCTCCATCTAGCTGTAACAGCCACCAACTGCTCCGTGGATAATGGCGGCTGTGACCACGATTGTACGGAGAGCAGTGACGGCCTGTCGAGGACTTGCAGCTGTGTGAATGGATACAAACAGACTAATGACTCCAAGAAATGTGTTCCCAACAGTAAGAGCAGTTCTAGTCTGACTTCACTTGCTGGCTGTAAACAAAATGTTTATTAGCAAGCAAAAATTAAATTCTCTCATCACTTTATATAGACTTGTTATTCAATAAATCTTTATGTGTTACGATTTTCTGGATAATCCTTTCGATAATGAAGAGCTGACGAGTTGGACAGCACATGTCCTGACACGATTCGCACCTACTGGCTAAAGAAGCTAACTGCACTCCTTGAGTACCTGGAAGCATAAATGAACCACCACATGATTCTTAAGGATTAATCCCATCATCACCACATGGATGCTCCTGTCAGGCATCATAGGAGCTAGCATGAACAGGCACATGGCTCGGTACATGAATGGAGCCCAGAAAGGAACAGGCAGAAACACTAGAGCTGCAAGACACAGGCCTACTAGTAGACAGAGTACTCAATGTCTCACACATGGATGCTAGAACAGGACCCTAAGAGCCTTCATCAACTTAATGGGGATGTGGTGACACCATTAGACACTTCAAGCCAGTTGCACAAGTCAAGTCATCAAGTGAAATTCACTGATGCTGGTTTACTTGCTTACTTGTGTTTCCATATGAACCACAGTTAGTAACTGATCTCAGAACAGTGAACGCAGACTAGTGGCAGTTTGCTTCGCACACTGCTCATCCACAACAGGCATGCACAAACCACAGACACAAGCTGCTGGCCTCTCAGCTTGAATGAGATGAAAAGAGAGAGATTATTTTATGTTTCTCTTAATATTTTTCCAGCTTTAATACAGTGTTTTTACAGGCCGATCATCCTGTGGACAGCTGTTAGCCACCACATCATACAGCCCACCACCGAAAGGCCTCCGTCCCTGGATGGTGGGGGGGCAGGTGGGCAAGAAAGGGGAGAGTCCATGGCAGGTACTACAAAAAAAACCTACAATACACACTGGGTGTGTCATGCTGGCAACTTTAGCTTGTTAGATTTGTATCCTTACAGCAGCCTGCAGTCTGAAATCAAAGTGCTGTAATGGTGATATGGTTATTAAGATCTTAAGACTCCAACATCAGATGTTGGCAACGCCCTCTTTTTATGTTATATACATTTGAATTTGGTAAGAAATCTGCTAATTTGTTTAAATCTGTTCTGTTTTTTTTTTTCAAAGATTGAACTAATATGTGAAACAAAGCTGTTTCACAATGTCAAGATGTTATCTTGTCAGTAGAATCCAAGTTGGAGCATTAATACCTGATAGTGTGTTTATCTGTAGGTCCTGGTAATGGATTACAGGAGTCGATTTCACTGTGGGGGTGTCCTCATCGATGAGAGCTGGGTTCTGACAGCTGCTCACTGTCTTGAAAACAGCTTAACGTTCAGTGTACGACTCGGTGAGTTTCCATTGCAGATGACAGACACTAATTATAATTAAATGAAAAATAATCATAAATGAATGACATTGAAGTGATTAGAAAGATCAACGCGGTAACTAACTGATTAACAAACTGATTATACTGAAGTACAAATGATTGGAGAGACTGCCTGTAGTTTTTACCTGAAAGGCTGATAGGGTCTTGTTTGTTCGCCCACAGAGAGAAAACACTTCAGTTTACCTTAAATTTAATTTGTATGACACAGAAATAAACTAGAAGCAATATATAAAGTTATAAAAATCACCACAGTGAAGTTTTTTAATTTCCTGTGATATTGGGAGAACAATAAGGACAAGACTAAAAGTGATTGTAAAGAACCCTGGACCAGCTGATAAACTGCCCAGAGTTTTGTTTTTGATGAATAGACATAAATTATCCCAGACAAACACCATGTTCATGCTCATAAGTGTAGTTATTAAAAAAGAAACACAGGCTAAAAGGTTTACAAACTGCTAGGCATGCATAACTGGTGGAGTCACGTCAGTCTATGTTTGATATTTGGGTGAAGAGAACAGCATCGCTGTCAACTGATCACCAGTATTAATTTGTATTAGATGGCAGGAAGATGCCATGGGACTGATCTGTAAACCTAAACAGGTAGTGAGAGTGAGACTCCATGGCAGAGGCAGCTGGTAGGTCAGAAGGTTGTCACAATCCTAAGGACTCCATACATGAACATTAATTCAACAGTGACAAATAAAGCTGGAATACTACTACTATAATAATGGATTGCATTTATATAGCACTTTTCGAGACCCTCAAAGTGCTTTACAGTTCTCACATTCACACACTGGTGGAGGCTACAGTTGTAGCCACAGCTGCCCTGGGGCAGACTGACAGAAGCAAGGCTGCCATATCGCACCATCGGCCCCTCTGGCCATCACCAGTAGGTGGTAGGTGAAGTGTCTTGCCCAAAGACACAACGACCAGGACAGAGCTGGGGATCGAACCTGCAACCTTCCGGTTACAAGAAGGTCACCCATGGGGCGACCGTGGTTCAGGGGGGTGGGAATTAATTACACTGAGAAAACTCAATGTACTTAAATTTTCCAGTTTTTATTTTTTATTCAACTGTATATACAATTATTTGAAGTAATTTGCTATTTTGCCATTAAGCACTAAAACTTTACAAAACCAAGGTTGCTGATAGGTTACATTGTAGTCCAGGGGTCTCGACATCCAGGCTCCGAGGGCCAGTGTCCTGCAGGTTTTAGATATCTCCCTGGGTCAACACCCCTGATTTAAATGATTAGTTCATTATCAGGCCTCTGGAGAACTTCAAGACATGTTGAGGAGGTAATTTAGCCATTTAAATCAGCTGTGTTGCATCACGGACACATCTGAAACCTGGAAGACACCGGCCTTCGAGGCCTGGAGTTCGAGATCTCTGTTGTAGTCAGAGTGAAAACACACATCAGCTTTCATTAACCATGAGTCCACGCCCTGTGTTTTTAGGTGACTATGAGCGTCTTAAACAAGAAGGCACTGAGGTCATCCTGGATGTTGTCCAAGGTTTCAAACACCCGAACTACAACACCAGGACCATGGACAATGATATTGCCCTGCTGCGCCTACAGACCCCCGCTCCCACGACTGAGTACATCGTCCCCATTTGTCTGCCAGGACGCGAGATGGCCGAGCGGGTGCTCCACCTGAACGGCACGAAGACTGTTGTCTCTGGCTGGGGCAAAGAGGACATGAACAGCACTAAGCACAGCTCAGTGCTCAACGTTATTGAAATCCCATTGGTCAGCCACAGCATCTGTACTCAGCAGATGTTCCCCCACACGATCTCCAACAACGTCCTCTGTGCCGGTATCCTTGGACAGAGGAAGGATGCCTGTGAGGGTGACAGTGGGGGCCCGATGGTCACTCTGTACCGGGACACCTGGTTCCTGGTTGGCCTGGTTTCCTGGGGTGAGGGCTGTGGACAGCTGGACAAACTGGGAATCTACACAAAAGTGTCCAACTACAATAATTGGATCAATAGTGTGCGTGAAGAATGGGACAGAGGCCATCGCCCGGAAGGACGCCCACGCTTCTGAACCAATTTATCCACAACAGCTGTTTCGGGCTCTGTTCTGTTGAACCCACATAAAAATGTAACACACTTTGTTAAATAAAATGATTTACCATGAAGACGCAGCTGTTTGCTTTTTTAAAACCAGTGATTTCCACTAGTTCCAGACAATTTAAATTCCCTCTGACCTGTAGTGCTACGTATCTGTTTAAAATAATGTGAAATACTCAATTAATCAATGGAAAAATGTCTTCCTATAACAAAACCAAATGGTGTTTGCCTTTAGATGCTCTAAGTGCCAAAAAATATATTTGTATCAGCTGACTCTTTCCAGAAATTACTGATGAATTACTCAAAAAGAAAATCTTTGATGAAAAATGTAGGACTTATTTTCTTTGTATCAAATTACATCCATCAAATAAAGGAAAACATGCAAACATTACAGCTCAGCTGCTCTCAGTGTTTCAAGCCTCTCACCACACAGGTCACAGCCATAGTTTGGTAAGATATCATCGTCTCCTTGAACAGACAGATTTGATCATAGGCTAGGGTGGAGTCCTGTATCCATGAAGTGTACCTGCTAATTAGTACAGAATATGTCTTTGATTGGCTACACCACAGAGACTCTCTGTTAGTTTGATTCTTGGGTATTGAATATAGCTCCTGGGACATGGAACGTTACACCTCTGGTGGGGAAGAAGTCAGAACTAGTTGGTTCGAATTGTTGGCACTACGTTGGACATGTTTCTGGTGAGCCTTGGATCTGTTCATAGTTTTTTTATGGACAAAATATCTAGCTGTAGTAGTTATAAAAGGTTTTTATCTTTGGATTTTGTGGGATTTTCTTTGATGTGGTTCTGTGGCTTCATCGATTGGGGACCTTCAGCTTGCCCTGGAGCAGTTTGTGGCCGAGTGCGAAGGAATCAGGATTAGCATCTCCAAGTCCAAGACGACTGTTCTCAACCAGAAAAGGGTGGAGTGCCCGGGGAGGCATCGTGGTGGGGGGCAGCATCACGCCCCCCACCACGAAAAAAAATAAATAAAAAAATTGCTCGTACTCATGCTGCCCCAACATCATGCCAGTGCATATTGGGAATGGTACAGGCACCGATCGGTTTTCTATCGCCCATTTGCTGGGAGTAAGGGCGCCCTCCGTTTGCGAGGTGCGCCTGCTGCTGGTGGTACAGGGAGGAGAGGGCGGGGTGGCGGGGGATTCTCTGGCTGGCTGGAGCAGCATCTAATAACCAACTCACAAAATAAAACAAACTAAAAACAAACCAACAAACACAAAAACACCAGACATCATGATACAGACTTATAATTTGCACCGATGTTTTTTCGAAATTCTACACGCGAAAAGTGAGCGTGAGAGCCCTCGGTGCGCCTGCTCGCTGCTGAAGTCAAAGTAAACTTTATTGTCATCTCCGCTACAGTCCAGTATATAGAGAGACGAGACGACGAGGCTCCAGTTACAGCAGTGCAAGTAAACAAACAATAAATATAAGAAGAGTAAGAAAATAAAAATACACTTTAGGACCAGGGGTAAAGGATCAATAACAATTTAACATTTATAATTTAGAGTTTGATGATTTAAAGTCTCACACAACCCGTCGAAAGGGGAGGGGCCCTGCTGCTTCCAAATAGAGCACATTTCATTCATAATGTTGTAAACCCAAGCCCATTATGTATTCATGATTTGAATCATGGGTTGTGTGAAATCCCAGAAATAAGCCCTATAGACAAATCGAATCTGTGAACTAAGGTGTTGGTCTGTTAGGTTATGTTGTGGTGATTCTAGGGTTGGGGGATGTGTGTTCATACTGGAGTGCAACATTAAAACCAAGATGGACAAGAAAGGTTCAAAGCCATCAGGTGCTCAGTTTATAAAAAAGAGAAAAGAAGAGGAGGAGAAACGAGCAAAAGATGCAGGTAAGCAGATGTGTCACTGGATAATGGCAGGTCATCCTGAAACAATCAGAGTCAGAATACTTTATTAATCCCGAAGGAAATTATGTGGGTTACAGGTGCTTCAAGAAGAAATGGTAAAAAAATAGTAACAGTAACAGACTAAACTCCAAACAATACATTATGTTACAGATTTTAATATTAATTAGTCGTTGTCAGTTGTTGATTTGTCCTGTTCTCATTGTATGACGAATTATGATGGCTGTTTGGTAGCTGTTTGCATACTATGCATACTCTCTCTCTCTTCATATGTGTGTACGTGTGTGTGTTTCTCTGGCGAAATTCAGCATGGTTCCGACAACAGTTTTATGTTATTGTACAATCCTTAGTACATTTCGCGTGTGTGTGTTTGGGGGAGGGCAAAGGGAGTGTTCGCCCAGGGCGCCAAACAGGCTAGGACCGCCACTGGGGACGAGTTACTACCCAAGGTGTAGGAGTTCAAGTATTTTAGGATCTTGCTCACGAGTGAGACGTGCGATTGACAGTTAGGCTGGCGGGACATTCACAGTCATGCGGCTGCTGTACCAATCTGTTGTGGTAAAGAGAGAGCCGAATGAGAAAGCCAATTTGTCATTTCACTGGTATATCACGCCATCGGCCCTCTGCTCAACACCAGTAGGGGAAGTGTCTTGCCCAAGGACACAACGACCGAGACTGTTGGAGCCAGGGCTCGAACCGGCAACCTTCCGATTACAAGACGAACTGCCAACTCTTGAGCCACGATCACTAGACTAACAACTGTGAGCCTTACTCGTGTCTTTGGAGTATTTTTAATCAAATATTGTGGTTTGCAGTGTTTTTTACTTCAGCTTCAGAAACAAACACATCTCAGGACAGGAATAAAACATAAAGTTAAACCTCTTAGGCCAACATATTGTAGACAATGACCACAGAGCTCATTTTTGAGTGATCAACATTTAACTTTATTTTTATTTTCTCACAAACGATTGTTTACAGCAGCCTGGTCTTAAAGAGGCAGGGCAGGATTATTTCTTTAAGCGCCTGTTATGGTAACACCCTTTAGCTAACACAGACATCTGTTTGCTTTTGTAATTATAGACTCATTACAATAAAAACTGAGGTCACAGGTGGTTTAAATAATATCTGTGCAAATAAAATCATTTCTTTTAGATTCTGATGGCAGCATCAAAAGGAGGACACACCTGAGATCAACAGTAAGACTCTGCAGACACCAAAGATTTTCACAAGGTTTTTTGTTTTGTTTATTAAAAGATAATTATTAACCAGAAGCAGCATTAAAACTCACAGAACACATTTAACATATAAAACTGCTGAATTTCACAGACTTACATGTTTTACGTTCAGACTTAATAAGCTGCCAAAATGTTAAAAATTCAGACCGTTTCCCACATAAGTACTTGAATATGTTTGTTTCTTTTCTACTATTTTAACCTGAGTATTTAATATGTTGTATATTTACAGAGCTTTAAGACATCTGATGGAGCATTAAAAAAACTGACAATTAATAATTCAGTGGCTCTTTAAGGCAAGACATTTTTGTTTGTGTTCTTTTGTTTTTATGCCCAGTTTCAAGATTTTGTGCTTTTTTAGATTAATAATTAATCTTCTTTCTTTCTTTTTGTTTTTTTGTTTAATTAAATATAAAAGACCAGGAACATGTTGCTTTCCTGTTCATGTCCAGGAAAATGTTTTTCCCGTGTATCATTCAGAGGCTGATTCATAGAATATTAATATAAACTGTTACTTGATCTCGACATTATTATCAGTTTTATAAGGTGATTTAAACTAAAAAGCTTTCAAATCTCTAACTTGTAACAACCTTTGACTTTACTATGACAACATAAAAAGTTTAAAGATTTCTGTTCTGGAAAATTTCAGCTTTTCACTTATTTAAATGAACAATTCCACGTTGGCATATGTTAACCTAAGTTCAAATTAAATCTCAGGTGAAGTTAAATTGGAGCCTCCTGGGAAATAATTCTTTTACAAATAATAAATGTAAAGGTTTTGTGTGAATTTAACAAGTTTTAACAGGAGAGGCTTAAGTACCTGGAAAGCTCCATATTATCACATCTTAACTGAAACTCTCAGTGTAACATCATCCATGCTCTACAGTGAAACTGACCTAGGATCAGTGAGATAGCCTCCTAAGGTTACATCCTGTCAGAATAAAATCCAGGTGAGTTCTCATTTAATCAGGTTCACAAGAGAGACGCTGATGAAGATCGAAATCTCACGTCACGGTTTATTATCATCCCTGAGCTTCTTTGTGGATTTTTTTAATGTTTCAGATCAAATTAAAGAGGAGCCTGACTCGTCACGTGTTCACGGGGCTGCATTATTTTCTGTGTAAGTGATTCCACCTAGAGGTAAAAGGTGGGACTGCAGCCACGTGTGCTCAGACTTGGACAAGAAAAGAAAACTGAGTGTTTAGACAGAAAATAATCATTCTTTTTGATTTTCTTATGATTAGTGAACCACTGAGAGGACAAGCATAAAAATAATCAGTTTTTATACTATTTTGTTGCCAATTATGGTTTAAAGTATTTTATTTTAATTTAAATAGAAGTATTGGCTGCAAAGTAATCAATAGTGAAACCAACGGTGAGCAGCAACCTGATAGATCGTAACTGATAATTGGATAATAAATATACTTCTTAGTTCATATTTTGAACTTTTAGATATAAACCACATTTTCGCTCTTTTTGATGTCTTCACCTTTTATTTTCCACAAACTTGGTACAAATGTTGTCCTGTCTGTTTTTTCTTTAAGTGCTTTGTAACAAAGTAAAGGTTTATTTAAATATAAAAAAATATATATATATATATATAATAATAATAATAATAATAAATAATGTTATTGTGATTACGTACAGTAAATGAGCCTCGTTTTCTGTAGATGAACATCATGTAGTGTGTATATTCAGTACATTTAGGAGGTAACAGTTCCACCTTCACTTCAGCTTAGTTCAAATTTTATAGTTAATTTGTCTTCTTATGTTATTTGACTTGATTTTAAAACTTTCTATACTTTTTCTCATCATCTCCACTTGTTCAGTTTTTGTAATAAAAACTTTCCTTAAATATTGTTTTTATCAGGTCACATTTTAGATACTTGGATATCTTCAGTATCCTAACATTAAAATAAGTTCAATACATATTTGTTGGGACTTCTTTTAAAAAAGAGGCCGTAATCTAGAGGTTAATTCATTCATCTAAGCCTTAATTAAAGTGACGGCGTGTAAAATCCTGCAGAAGAGGAGGACGGAGGTGAAGAAGCTTCAGCACCGCTTCTGTTTTCAGCTGCGGACTCTGAGTTTTGTGAGAAGGATCAGGACTTTCCTCGTCTCCGCTTCAGCTCCTCTTCGTATCTCTGCAGCTGAGACATGAAGCCGGGGTTCGGGTCGATCACGTGACGAGCCGTCTTGACTTTCTGGGAAAAGGGAAATGAACAGTGACGAGCTCTGGTTGTTTCTAAGGATCTGTGGTTGCTCTGCATGATTTGTATTTCTGTACTTTACAAGTTATTTTAATATTTTCTAAATATTTTTGTATTTCATAAATTTTTTCCTGTTTTCTGTTATTTGTTTTATGGACATATTTTTTTTTTGATTACCTGTCATGACGTTTGCAAAACTTCAGTCCTTCATTTCTGTCAAATCATAAAACTCATTTAATGTTTGAAGTTATCGGAGAAACTGTGGGAAAATATTTTAGTGAACAGTATAACATCTGATTTAAACTCTAAATATAAATTAATAATAAAAAGAAATGATGATTAATAAATAGATAATGCATAAATTCAGCTTCTTCTCAACACAACAAGATGTGGAAGATTTTTTAAAGTATTTATGTTGTTTTTCAACAATTTTTTCCAAAAAATTTTAATTTTACGTTACAAAAAGCAAAAAAGACATTAAACAAAGATGTGTTTCTGTTGTTGGGGTTAAACAGATAGTTAATGTTATGAATATAGGTCAGTAAATAAAATTTAATTAAATAACATTTTTTCTTTTTCATTTGAGCCAAATCTGCAGCACAAAACAGGATCAGGGGTGTCAGCCTTCAGAGAAGGGCTGAATTGTTGTATTTGTCCCTTCTGAGCATGAATATAGCAACGCTCAGTGTGCAGCTCATCTTTCAGTGTTGTGTTCAAGGGCACTTTGGATAATAAAAGCTTCAGCGTCAGAAAACAAACCTCTCAGCTGCAGGTTGAGCTCAGTCCTCCACATTTTTGACCTTCATGCAGCAGGATTGGGCTGATTTAGACGGCTCAAAGCACAGTGAGACTTATAAATAGGATGATTGGCATTTTAAAATCTGCAAAATAATACTTATTAAATGATAAACAAAAACTGTATGTGTGAAAAACTCTGAAGCAACCAAAAGTTCAGCACTTTTTCTGTGACTTGTGTTCACTCTATTACTCTTTCAGTCCTCAGACCTTCATTTGAAGACTTGATCATTATTTATCAGCACGTTCTCCCAAAGCGTAATGCTAGGTGACAAATCGTCAACATATTACGTTTTCAAGGCACCCAACACATTCCTAAATGACGAGATTGGAAAAATGAGGAAATATGACAACCGTTTGGACTCAATCTACACATCTTTGTTCATTTTCTTCAAACCTCTTGGGAAAACACTATTTAACGTCATTAAAGTGCTGGTTAAAGTTAGGAATAAAGTTATGGTTAGACTTAGGGAGAAGGTTAGGTATAGGGCTGGAATACATGGCTGGAAGGTCTATTACCGCGGGAGCGTCATTCCACTGGATTTCATCCATAACCTGGTGTGGACCATAAGAACGCGGAAGGTCACTTTTCGCGTTCTCACGGTCCGCTGCGGGACGTGACAAAACGTCGAGATGTTACGTCTCGGGAGAGAGAACAGTATTTATGGAACCTAACAGCTCCTCTAAGAGTGAACAAACTCAGCAGTTTGTTTAATCAATGTGCAGTTTATTTTCCAATAAACAAAGTGTCACATTTATAATCTGCCTCACAGTCAGCAGGAGGAGCTCGGGGTCTGTGGAGGGTGGACAAAGTTCATCACTAACACCAGATGCCAAAGTTGTAACCTGTACAAAAAGTAAAGTAGAGCAGGGTGGGATAGATCCTCACCTGTAAGGCGTCTGTCAGGGACAGTTTGCGGTGCTTCATCAGGTAGGCGATGCAGATCGTGGCCGAGCGGCTGCGTCCGTTCTTACAGTAGACGACGCTGCGTCCGCCGCGGTTCGCCTCCTTCTGGATGGCGTCGGCACAGCGGTCAAAGTGGCTGTACAGGTCCTCGTTGGGGTCGTCGTAGACGGGTATCTGCAGCTTGGTGATGCTGCTGGAGGGAAACGGCTGCTGCTTGGACACGTTGATGCAGAGCGTCACCGCCTCCTGCTGGATGAGCTCGTCGCTGCAGGCTGAGCGGGCGTTACTGATGAACAGAGCGTTGGTGACTTTACACAGCTGCAACATCCTGGCCAGGCTGTGGAAGAACTGACCCTCGTGGGCTTCCTTACACTGTCAGTGAGGCTCACAGGTAACTAGTGCCTGGAGAGAGAGCGGTGTCGGGTTCAGCAGTCTATTTAACACTGAGAAAATGATTAGTTAGTCTCTGACTCTGTCGCAGAGTTCAAGGCTACACCCGTCCATCCACTCTGACTTCCTCCTAAAAGTAAAACTAAAAGGAACGACATTCATTCTTTACTTTTAGTTATTATTTAAATGAATATCTTTTCTGCTTGCTGAAGTAGAAGTGTGAAGGTAGAGCCTCGCGTAACTTCTGATGTGCGTTTGTCAGCTTCTTTTTTTAACTGTACAGTGTTTCACTTGCTGCATACTGAGCTGAATCTTTTACAGATATTACAGATTTGTTTTTTGTTAAAGAAAAAAATAACCTTCTCTTTACATACCAGGTCTTGAATAATCTGGTCGTCTCATATCGTAAAACTCTATCATGTTACTCCATCAGTCGTTAACTTTTGTCTTCTCTCTCCTACAGTTTCTTTTTTCTCATTTTTCTTCATGTGTTTCTCACAGAGGATTGTTTGATTACCTCTAATATTGTATTGTACAGCTTCTGCTGTTACCATATAAAGCGCTTTGTAGTGGTAGTGGTATAAATAATAACACGTTTAATGTATTGATGAAAAATATATTTGCAAGATTAATCAGGACCTTATTCACTGGATCACATATGAGATTCTTTTGCTTTTCCTTGTTTCACATTTCTGTAAATAAAAGCTGGATAAAGTACACATCAGGATATCAGCTCGCGCTACAGGATTTTTAATCACTTAAAATAAATGTAATCATTTAACCTATTGATGATTCACAAAGAAAATAAATCTTAGTTGAAGCATTTTACTTGGCATATGTCATCTCAATAATATAATAAAGGTACAGACATTAAATATTCTCTGTGGCCCCAGTGACAGAGATTTAAGATGTTCAGTTAACCTACAGAAACAGCAGGCAGTGAACGCCTCACACTCGCTGAACACAAGGACGCCGTGACTCACGTGCGGCTGATCTTCAGGCTCCTTCACGCTCAGTTTGTGCTTTAAAGACGCGCCATGTTCGCTTCGTGCTGACAGGAGAGCTCAGACTGCTCCGGTCTGTTCAGGCCTCCTCATGATGACCCGGAGCTGTTCTGACCCGCAACCGACACCGCACACAGAACAGCGCACACACCACAATGCTGCTATATTTACCGCTGCTGACAGCCGCTCTGCTCTGGGTCTTAAAGCTGCTCAGATCCATGACTAAAATAGATGAATATTTGATTTTCATTTGATTTTATTATTATTGTTTTTATATGTTTTTGGAACTGGGTTTGTTTGCATAAAGATTGAAATGATAATTTTAATTACAGATAAATTACATATAAAAAATAAGCATCTGTATTGTATAAATATTGCACCTGTTAATGCCATAAATAATTCTGTAATTTTTTTTGTTTGGATTTGTACTTTTAAATTTATATTAACTTCTATCAGGCTTCATGCACCAGTACTTACTTTACTTAAAAAAAAAACTTAAAATGAATGAAACAATGACTTCACCTCATCATATTTTTATTTATTTATCATCTTAATATACTACAATGCCAACAAAATAAAATAAAATAAGTAATATTCAGTCAATTTCATCTGCTTACTTTGCTTTATTTTCTCCTTATTGTTTGTTTTTGATCCTCTTTTCAGAAAATGATCCCAAAAACAAATTATGTGCATGAAAAGAGTCGATGCGAGCAGGTAAAGTCATTGTTTCATTGTTCTTAATTTTTTATTATTTTTTTTATTTTTATTTTTTATTTATTTATTTTTTTTGGGGGGGGGGATTTATTTATTTATTAAAGAAATTAATGATTAAACTGTTATTGTTGTATATGTATTACTGACACTTTAAGAAGAGAGCAGGCAGAGTGGAGTGGGTGGATGATTTGTGACTGAAGGAGAAGGTTTACACGATGGTAGTAAGAGCTGCTGTGATGGCTGCTCGGGTGACATGACACGTGACACATACATGATAAGCTGTAAATCTTATAAATGTCGCAGTGATGATTTTTAGTAATTCTTTAAAAGACAAGTGACATGACACCGTGACAGCGACATCAAACAAATAAACACGCTGTCAGATTATGGTATAAAACCATATTATACAGTGAAAATGGAAATGATGGCGGAGGGTAACACCACCTGGGTCTGGGTGCAGTTTCCCCCCCTCCAGGGGCAAGGGTACCTAGACCCGGTTTGTAGAGTACGCTTGGGGAGTGTGATCGTGTGTACAGCGTCTCTTTATGTCTGTCTCCACGTTGGTTGAGTGTGGAGTAAGTGCATATGAGAGCATGAGGGTGGGAATAGATGTTTGTATATGTGTGTGCCTGTATGTCTGTGTCTATATGTCAGGTTGGGTGTCAGGCGCCACCTCTCTGGGGACATCTCAGGCCCTCCAAGGTTTGGAGGCCTATCTCCCCCTACCACCACTTCCCCTGCCAGTGGCGGACCCCCTCAGACATCGGTGCGTTGGTGGTTCTTTGTGTCTGGGGATGGGCGTCCAGGTACACGCCGGCTCACTCCTTGGTGGCCGCTTATCGGGGCCTGGAGCCTGGGGCTCGCTCGGGCCACTTCGGAGGTGGGGTGCCCCCGGCCTCTCGGCCTGGGGCTCGGTCACTCAGGCATGGCTGGCTGCCGGTGGAGCTCACGGGCGCGTCACTGCAACTCCCCCTGGCTTCTGCTCCGCGGCTGCTGAGTGAACCCTCATCTGGGGCTCTCCTCAGCTCTTTCTGGGACAGTGGCGCGGCTGCCCCTCTGTTGGTCTTCCTTGGTCTCTTGTGTTCTGGGGGCCTCTGGATGTCTGGAGTTTTGATCTCCTCCATACCTGCTTCATGCCCTGGAGGACGGGGCTGTGGCCCCCCCACACCCTCTAGCAGATCATTACATGAAGGAACCTTTTAAAAAACAAAAAACAAGCGCGTCCATGCTCACAGGTGTACACACGGGTGATCACACCCACAAACTACACCCTTTTTGGCTCCTACCTCAAAGCACACTGTGTTCTGTTGATCTTATGTGCTGCACAATAATGTTTAATATTTAGTATTTACTGTCATATTCCCATATATCATTGTGATGTTGTTTATTCTATTACTCTTGTTCTCTTCTGCTTGTTTTCTTTTTTCTTTCTCAGCAGGTGATCCAGGTGATTGATATATGCATTTTTTTCTTCTTTTTTTCTCTGCCCGTTCTGTTGGTTTTTGTCTTTTGCCCTTCTCCCCTGTCCCTCTTCTCAGCTGTTTCTCTTTCCCTCTTTCTTTCTCCCCTTCTTTCCCCCAGTCAAGTCTGTCCCGTATTCAACAAGTGAAAATAAAATAAACAATAAAAGGTGAATCAAATGGACCATTACGGCAAGGCTGGGATGGTCAGTTTGGTAAAGTAAATCCATTGGGCATCTTTCTTTGCCTTTAGACAACAATTCTGATGCAAAAGAGCCAAACGGGACAGGCAAAAAAAAAAAATGGAAATGATGGCGGCCTGCGATTACTTACTTTCAATAACTGTGCCAGTACAAAAAATAAAAAATAAAAAACAATAATAAAATAATAAAAAACAACAATAATAACTATTATTATTATTATTATTATTATTATTATTATGTAAGAAATAACGTTTGGCAGTAATTTACCGAGAGCGGAACTTTAAAAAACGTCTCAGCTTCATTCAGAACCTTTAATGGTGCAGCACACAGCGGAAGCAGATTCAGCAGAATCCGGAACTGTAGAAGGACTTGTGCTGATCGTTTAATCGAAAGTAAAAATGTCCACAGTGGAGTTTCTGATAAACTTTGTCAACGAGCGGCTGTCTGCCGCCGTGGATGAAATTTTCACGGTGTTTGAAAACACGATCGTCAAATACGAGCAGGACATCGAGCGGCAGCGCAGGCTGCTGGAGAGCTTCTGGAAGCCGGAGATCAAGCTTCAGAGGATCGGTAGGCTAACCGGGATGAATGAGTGTGAGCCTGCGGGAGCTCCGAGCTCTTTATGTCATCCTCGCAGACCAAAGTAACAATAGTAATATTAATAATGATAACAATAATATGAGAAATGCGGAGTTAAAAGCAGACACCTTCAGCTTTTAGAAAGATCAGACTGAGGTCAGAGCAGCAGAGACGCTGACGGCTCAGCATGCCCACAGGCAGGTAACGTGGCTCCGGCTGGTTAGCGGTAGCGGGCTCCTCAGGTCTGTACACTTGTAGAAATCACCGTAACTCACCGAGTCTGTCACAGCTTCTAACGCCAGACTTGTAGTGATGATACAGCACAGCTGGGTGGTGTAGCTCAGCAGCTCACCTGCTAACCAGAAGGGTGGGGGTTCCCTCTGCTCCAGAGTGTCTGTGGGCAGGATGCTGAACCTGAGCTGCTGACTGTTGGATAGGTGCAGAAAAGTGTGTGTGACAGAATGGGTGAAGGAGACATGTTGTAGAGTAGAAAAGTGCCATTAGGACTTTTGTATTTTTTTGTGTGTTTGGTTTGTGAAATTAAATCAGAAGGAAACTAGTACCTGCACTTAGCTGATCTGTACTTGTACTCTGTGTACTGTATTAAATCTACTCTGCAGATACGTTATAACCAGATCTCTCTGAAACCCAAGTCACATCAGTTCCTCCTGTGAACTTCCAGCTACTTTTTCAACAAAGGTTTTGAATTAATCAGAAAATAATCACTATCATCTCAAAATAAAGACTCCCTGAAGCTCCTGGAGGGAGCTTGTCTGTTGGAATGGACGCAAGAGCATTTACAAAGATGTGGAAGAATATGTCAAACATGTTTACCTCTTAAAATTTCCCCAGCAGAGTAGGTAGGGAGGCAGAATAATGCCCTGGCATTTTATTTGCTTCTGACGGCTGGCACAGCTTATATGACACACGAGACGCGACCACAAGGTCTCAAACACCAACACAGAAGTTTAAATCACCTGCTAGGTCAGGATTGTACTCTGTGCTTATTTATGGACTGTTACTAACATTTATCTTGTCCCTGCAGACCACCCACAGCTCCACGTCACTGCAGCAGAGAAGGTTCTTCCTAAAAAGCGTCTCTGTAACCAGGAGAGGAACTGCAGCCTGAACCAGGAGGAACCAGGGCCTCCTCATGTTAAACAAAAACACAAGAAACTGTTGTCCAATCAGCAAGAACCAAAGCGTCCACAGATCAAAGAACAGCACAAACTCAGGAGGGAGGGAGTGCAGTCGGCACTGAAGCGTCACACCGAGAGCTTTGTGGCGACTCCTGTTTATGAGGAACATAGAGAACAGGAACCAAACGATGGCCAGATTCTCTTTCACAGCTCCCCAAACTGGAGTCTGATAGGAAGCAAGCACGTGAGGTCAGGATCAGCCGCAAACGTGGACGAGAAACAAAGAAGGAAGCGCAGAAGAAAGGCCAATGAAAGAAACTGTAGAAAACTCTCCCACGTCCAAGAGTCAGCATAAAAAAGTCTGCAAAATGTGAAGTGGGTAAAAAAAAACTTGTATGAAAAAGTCCCAAATGCTGAAGCTTCCCAGGATCCGCACACGTGAAGCTGCACACGTGTGACACATAGTTGTAGGTTGTAAACTGTCACTCCACACAAGAAGTTGTGTTCAAGCAAGATTTGCACTAAATGTCACAGAAATACAGCAAACGTGTGTTTCAGGCTGCAAGAAAGCTGCACGAATATCTTTGGGGAAAAATATGTTTCGAAGTCAGTCACAAGCATTTCATACGTTTCAAAGATTTTTATTTGCAAATAAACTGCTGAACGAGTCGGTGTTTGCAGAGACAACGTGTGCTGCAGCTCAGCTTCTGGGTCAAATCCTGATTGTTCCTGCTTTATCACAGCTCCAGGATCAGTTTGTGAGCTTCTGCTCTTCCACCTGCTTTTTAAGGTTTGACCAAACTAACTGTCAGTCGATGACCAGCTGAACGTTTTCCAGCATATCACAAGAAAGTGATACCAAGTCGCTCGGAGGAGAATCAAATGAACATTTTGGATCTGTGACCAGGAAACTCCTGGGATTTACATACATTTGATTTATTTGGCAATAAAATTCTTTTAAAAGTGTGAAATGTTCCCGATGGTTCTCGATTACATCATAAAATCATGTAAAACAGCAAATTTGTGCCAGTAAAAAAAACCAAGTCTATAAATGCAGACTAACAGAGCGAGCTGTGAGGCCATCTTTGAGTTTCTCTGAGGTCCTGGAGGAAAAGCTTACACGTTTGCACCACGTGTGTAGTTCCTGATGTCAGTATTAGAAACAAATTGTAAATATTCCGTTCTTTTTTTCTTTTGTTTTAATAAATGAGGTGAATTAAAGACCGAAGCTCTAAATTCTAAATGAGTTTGTTACTGAGTAACTGTGCATGTCCTTTCAGCTTTCTTTATTTTATTAATCATGTATAAATGCACTAGTTGTACATAGATTGATACGTCTGATGTTTTGAAGATGTTTTGTCATCTTTTCATTGTTCAGGTTTTTTAAAGTGACACTCGAGTTCTGGACGTTTTCTTTAATAAATGATTCACAAACCAACAGTCGGCTCTCTGGGATCCTTCATCGCACTCGCGAGCGCTTAAGTCAGACATGGCGTCTCCTGCTGTTTCATCACTAAGCCCACACGTTTACAGATGTTTTGCTGTGGCCTCCATGTGAGAAACAGCTCATCGTTCGTTGGGCACTCAGCAGCTTCATTCTTCTGAAGCTCAGATTGAAATGTTGTTTTGACTAATAGACAGCAGGGGGCGCCTCCTCACATGCAAAAGGAAGCAAGAAAATGAACCTGCTCTTCTCTTGACCTCTGACCTCAGTAAATCATTTCCTGATGAGTTTGTCACAGAAACTGTGCTCCTGTGAATTCTGTGGGAAGGGTTTCAGTCAGAACAGCGATTTAACGGCTCGCCTGAGGATCCACACCGGTGTGAAGCTGCATACTTGCAAAACATGCAGGAAGTGTCTCCAAAATCACTCGAGCGTAGCGAGCCACGTGAGAATCTACATGTGGGAGAAACTACATCTGGAAAAAAAATCTGAAGAGGTTCAGCTTCATGACGCCATTCGAGAGGAGAAGCTGTATTCTTGTTAACTGTGCGGGAAACGGTTCACTCAGAGCGGCAGCTTGAAGGTCCACATGAGGACTCGCATGGGCAGGAAGCCGTTTCCTGCGGGATGTGTGGGAAAAGTTTCAGAAGCAGCAGCAACCTGCCGGTCGACACGAGAACCACAGAGTGGAGAACGGGGAAGCTTCCAGGCGGGACGCCACAGAGCTGAAACATCAAATCACAGATGATGGAGAAATCATCTGTGACTGAAATGTCCATCACCCAGAGTCAGAGCGCTGTTAGAGGAGTTATGAATGCACCAACCCCGTGTTTGGACTGGATATTAGTCTGATGACAGAAACCGGGTCAAGTGTCCTGACAACAGCTCAGTCTGTGGGCTGATCTAGTTTTTTCAGCTCTGAGCTGTTCTGTGTTTCACAAGACGACTGCAAAGAAATAAAGTCCTGTTTTTATTTATTGTTTTACTTACTTTGAACATAAAAGAACGATTCAGTTTCTTCCTCATCGTGATGAATAAATCATTTCATAGGTGTTGATGTCAATACTGGAAAAGTTCAGTCAGTGTATCTCTGTGAAAATACCGTCTTCAGTTTTTACAAAATATCTAAAATACATTTAAACATCATGCTGTTAACTTTTCTAATATTTAAAATGTCAGCAGCTCAAATTCTTGGTATAAAAATGAGACGTGACAAGAAAACGAACCAGGAACTGAGACCGTCGCTTATTGAAAAAGAAATCAGCGCCTTTTGTTAGATTCACGCACCCTGTTTGACACATGTGAAGAACTGGTGATATTCTTCCTGCCTTACAATGTGTAAGATTCATGAAACAAGGTTTGTGTGTGATTCAACCCACAACCCGCTGTTTTCATTACATGCTCATTATAAAAATGTCTTTTTCGTCACAGAGACCTTTCGTATTTCAGAACTGTCATGTACAGAGACCAAGCTGAACTTGAACTTTCACGGCCGGCCTGAGGGCGCCTTGGTGTTCCCCGAGACGAGCCGGAGGAGGTGGTGGTGGAGAGCGTGGTCTGGGCTTCTCTGCTGAGGCTGAGCCAGCCCCGGATAAGCAGAAGCGAATGGATGGATGGACATTTGACATGTTTTCTATGTTCTATTGTAATGTGACCTGTTTTTACATTTCACAGCCCATCCAGACTTTTAGGAATTTGTTTTAGTTTATGACTCACGTGATTTTCACTTACATTTAATCTTTTTGATCCGATTCTTCTGGCAGCAGAAAACCTTCACAGCAGTCAGACTTCATGTTTCTGTCATTAAAAACATTTACAGTCATGTCAGGGTAATAAAAAGACAGCTCTAAAGGTGTTTTCATATTTGTTTAATGCTGGTTTAAAATGCAGGCTGATGCTAATAATGCACAGCATCTTTCATTCTTTTTATTACTTTTAAATGTAATTTTGGGCTTTGACCAGCAGGAGGAACTAAACCCTGATAAAACAGAAACAGACAGGCTGACTACAATGTGCAAATTTTAATCAGGTGCCTCAGATGGAAACATAACGTAAAACCAAACAACATCATTTATATTTCATATAAAATCTGGAAAATTTCACACTTGACTCATAATCAGTTTTTCTGTACAATAGTTCAGTACGTTTAAATAAACCATGCAACACTCGTACTTTAAGTATTTTCAGAGTTACAGGCCCTCTAAGTACACAGAGGTGGGGTAAACCGTGGTCCTTATCAGTTCACCATGTTCTTCCAGCAGGTTCAGGAGAGAGAAACATTAACAGAGGTTTTAAAGTCTTTAATTTCAGATGAAACATTAACACCTCACACATTTAACAAGATCTTCTTCATTTTGACCTCCTTCACTCCTGCTGTGTAGCTTCAGTTACCCTTGCAATACAACAAAGTTATACAATTACTGCTATTATGACACCAGGTGATACTTGGAGTATAAATTACTGTTAGGTGAATGAACCTGAGTAACTGGTGCTAAAAGAATGATTGTTATCCAACATCTACATCTAATATTGCCTCAGCTGCGTGTCCCAATCACAAACACTGCACACAGGAACAAGCTGAGACAACGTGCTCTGACATAAAACTATTTGAAACAGGAGCGATGTAACACAGAATGCAGTCATCTGAAAATCGTTTGAACGTTATATCTGCCTGCAGAAAGCACACTGACAACATTTCAAATGTTGTACAGGCCTCAGAGTACAACCCACTGAATCCATGACATCATCATACGCCCTTACAAACATCCACATTTCAATAAGACCTATTCAATAAAAACTGAAATGCACTTATTACAGATTCACCACATCTACTGGACAATTTGACAAAGATTGATTGTGCAGTCTGACACGCTGATCCAGGCCCAGGCAGCTTCATCGAACACAGCCTGCTATACATCGCTTAAAAACTGAAAGCTCTACTTAACGACTTCTGTTCCCAGACGTATTTTCCACTCAGACATTACAGGCCTGACTTTCCTCCTGAGAGTCTGTGGGCTGTTAAACTAACACTGAGTGAAACTCTTCCCACATGTCTGGCAGGACTCCTTCTCCTGCAAATTTATATTTTCATGAGTGCAGACACGTTACGACGATTGATGAAGCTTTTCCCACACTTTGCAAGAGTACGGTCTCTATCTATTGTGAATCCTCATGTGGACGTTCAAACCGCCGCTTTGAGTGAAACTTTTGCCACATATTGTACAAGAGTAGTCCTTCTGGCCTGTGTGGATCTTCATGTGTCGCAGCAAATGGCCACTCTGCCTGAAGCTGTTTCCACACAGTTTACAGGAATACGGTTTCTCGCCCGTGTGGATCGCCGTGTGCCGTTTGAACGCTGAAGCGTCAGAGAACTTTCTCCCACAGCTCTTACAGATGTGCGGTTTGTCACCCGTGTGGATTCTGCTGTGGACGGTCAAATCACTACTCTGACAGAAGGTTTTCCCACATATTTTGCAGGAATACGGCTTCTCTCCCGAGTGAATTAACGCATGCCGTTTCAACGCCGATGACTGAGAAAAGCTTTTCCCACAGGCATTACAAAGGTAGGGCTTCTCGCCTGTGTGGATTCTCATGTGAATCAACATTTTATCTCGAGCTCGGAAACCTCTCCCACATGTTTCACAAGAAAACGGCTTCTCCTCTGCGATGCCACTTTGGTGATACTTCATTATATAAAGCTGATAGAACTCTTTCTCGCAGGTGCTGCAAGCGTACGGCTTCTCTGAGGTTCTGTGTTGGTTCCCGTCATCTTGAAAGTCTTTCCCACAAACATCACATTTACTGACAGAGTCTAAATTGCTGTCACTGTTTCTGTGACGGCTCTGCTTTGGTTTCAGCTCTGCATTTCTAGTTGATCCTGAGGCTACATCAAAGCTTCCTTCGTTCAAGCTCTCAGTTTCAGGAGAGCTGGGAGAGAGGAGCTGATCACAGTTTGATTCTGACTCGCTGAGGTCACTGTCCTCATAAGCAGGAGTCACCATAAAAGTATCGATCTCCTCCTTTAGTAGGAGCTGCTTTCCCTCCTGACTGATGAAGAGCTCTTCCTCTTCCTCTTTGATTTGTGGAGGTTCTGGATCCTCCTGGTCCAGACTGGAGTTTCTCTCCTGGTTACAGAGCTCCTCTTCCTCATTCTGACTGACACACAGAAGATCTGAGGGGACAAACGGACACATGAAAAGTTCCTAGTGTGACGATTAGGTTCTGGGGAATGTAACCACATGTTTTTAAACCAGCAGGGACAGTGTTTTTATCTTAGAGAGTTTTGAAATGTGTTCTGCTGCTCTTAATTTGAATATTTCTTTTTAATTCTACTCACTTCCTCACAAGGATTTGCCCTTTGCTCAGCCCGCAGTGTGAGCAAGATTGTTGTTAATAACTTACCTGGTTAAATAAGGGTTACCCTTAGTATAAATTGGCATTACATGAAAGTACTGCATGTCCCCATTTTAAGTTCAGTTGGTCTGTCTTCCATACAAAACACAGATGTTTAGGATGTGAAGTCATAGTGGGGTTTTTTTTTGAAATTCACATCCTGCCTCATTTTGTTTTTTAACAACTTTTAAACACAGAAATTTACAAGAAAAATTAAATCACGACGTGCTTTTAGTTTAAACAAATGATTTGTGTCGACAGACTTCAGGCCAAACATGCACCAAATGGGCAATACTACAGGACCACACCTGCTAATCTTTAAACCCAGGTGTTTACAGTCCCGCTGCCACAGCTGTAGAAATATCAAGCTTCTAGCCAAGCAGCCCTCAAACCAAACAACAGAATGTTTGGTTTGAAAGAGCTCACTGAATTTGAGCGTGGTGTTGTAAGAAGATGCCATCATTGCAACATGTCAGTTTGTGAAGTTTCTTCCTTCCTGGTTATTCAACAACCAACTGTTGATCAGATTATATAACACATAAGTCACCGATACTATTGCCTCAGTAAATGCAGAGCTCCAAACCAATTTCTTTATATTTAGATAGGAAATAGAAGGTGGGTACTGTGATCAGTAGAAACATGTGCAAACATATGTGGAATTAAAGTAAATAAGGCAGAAACAGAGTTTGCACAACACACGACTAAAGCAAAGATTCTGCACCGTATTAAATCAGAGTGTAATAAAAACTAAATGAATGCAGCATCTAATGATAATAGTAAAGTACGTAAGTATAAAGCAGCTCTTTGGAGGGGCTCCTTTTTTGCAACGCTACCTAAATCTTGTGCTATATTAATGTAATAATAAAATAATATCAATGAGAATATAAACTTAAAATTTAAACTAAAGTTAACTTAATAAATGTGCTCTGCTTAAATCACTCAAGTAGAAAACGAGCAGAGAAAAAGAAGGAACATTTCCTTTGCCTACATAGTAAGGGGTGTCAGGAAAATGAGTACAGTCGGAGGTTAAAGTGGATTTAAGCAGGCTGTGAAAGCCTAAAATTGGTTGTAGTGGCTCAGCTCAGGGAAAGACTCACCACTGCTGTTGAGAGCTGCAGTAGAATTTCTTTGTGAACAGGCTGTGATCAGCTGATCTAAGGTTTACTGCCTTTTGTGTATTTACACAACTGAATTTAACAAGCAGATGTTTCATGAGTTGTCCTGCTCCATCCTTTTGCATGGTTTAGAATCAGCTTGCTAAATTCACAAGACCTTCCCAAAAACAGACGCCATCTGGATGAGAGCAAATTCCCTCATCCATTCTCTGCTGCTCGTCTGTATATACCTTTCAGCAGTGATGGATTCTTTCCAGATGTGGATGCTGCCAGTTTCACAAGCACTGATTCATCTCCCTCCATACATCAGAGAGGCAAGCTTTTGAACTGAACACTGATGGCCAGTCTCATCTTTAGTCTTGTGTTCAAATTAAATTACCAGTCGACCAAAATGGTTTTCATTCTCCCTCGGTCCATTTTAAATGAGCTTTGGCAGCATTTCTGGATCACGCTACAGCAAACTGCTCACAGACATGATTTCTGGACGCTTTCCTGAGACCATGCTGTGATTTCCATGACAGCATCATTTCTGACCTGCTGCCAATTAAGCTAATTAGATACAAAATGTTCCTCCATCTGTTTCTTCTTAGTACCACCTCCATTTTCCAGCCTTTTCTTTCTCCCGTCCCAACTTTTCTTTGAGCTGTCAAAAATGATTTTGTCTTAAAATTGTCCATTTCTCAGTTTAAAGACTTGATGTGTTCTTTATGAATAAAATATGGGTTTATGGGATGTGCAGACTATTGCATTCTGGTTTTATTTACATTTTTCACAGCAGCCAGCTATTTGGGATTTGTGTTGTATGTAATTTGGCGTTTCTCTCTTTTTTTCCTCTTTGGGGAAAACCTGCAGCTCCCTGCTACCCCTAAAACCCTGCAACATGTCATCGTTTCTTACCGATTCTGTGTAACTTTATCTCAGGCTTCCAGCTGATGTCCAGCAGCTCCTCCTGACAGCGGACGAAGGTTCGCTCCACATCCGTCTGACAGAGTTCATGAGCCGGAGGAAAACACTGAGCTGAAGACATCCTGCCTCCAGCAGCTAACGCTGCTAGCGCCTGCGCCGCTGCTGTTTACGACCCGAGTGTCACACTGTCGAGTTCCGGCAGAAGAGAAGGGAGTGAACTGTAGTTCCGCCCGTGTTTTATTGGAGCTCCACGCTGAGCTCCCACTTTTTAAAGGGATTCGGCCGTGAAAGTACATTTTATATTTCAGAAAATCAAGAAGTTTAAGGTTTAGAAAGAGCCAGCTGCGCCCATAAGAAAACATTTAATTAAAAATAATAAGTAACTAAATAAATAAACAAACAAACAAAAATAAAGGAAAGGAGAAACATCTGTGATCGTTTAACAGTGAGCTACTCATCCCATAATGCACTGCACATTAGTGTGTGATGCTCCTCTTTTATAGAAAACTATATTTAAGAGCCTGCAGGTCTAAAAAGACTCCCGTGTGATATTATACAAAGTTTGTTTCAGTATTGATGCACTGACTGTGCAGTATTATTTCTACGTTCCTAGAAAACCTAAATGTGTTACTTTATCTCATCTTTAATCTTCTTTTTAAACTTACAGTATTACCTTTTGTGTCAGTGACAGAGTTGCACTATATTTTGTTGTATAGAATAACATAATAGGCGAGCACATTGGTGTGGTGGTTAGCTCTGGTGGCTCACAAACTAACCACCACACTCCTGCACCTGGCCAGGTTCTTCCTGTTTGTGTGGATTGTCTCCGGCTTCCTCCCACACTCCAAAGACATGGGGTTAGGTTAATTTAGGTTCATTGGTGATTTTAAATTACCCATAGGTGTGAATGTGAGTGCTAATGGTTATCTGTCTCCCCACAACCCTGAAAAAGATAAATGATAACAGTAATAGAACGACAACAATGCTATTCTGTTGTAATGATTTCAGCCTCATGTCAGCACTAATGATGGTGAGTCGCCTCCTGGAACACCCAGATTAATCACCTGGGTAGACTTTCCCACCTAGCAAGAAACAGTCCACCAGCAGCCAAGTCAAAGTTTCGACATGTTTATTTTTTAAATATAAAAGATTGCTGTTATATCAAATATGATACAATATATGAATTTAGTTGTTTATGATGGTTTGGAAAAACAAAGAAACACCTGAAACACAGCTCGTTAGTCGGCTCAGATATGATGTTACTGTACAATAAACCTTTGTTTTAAACTTAGATTAAATAAATCACCACAATGCATAACGGATTTTTACAAGATGGACAGGATTATACAGAACTTCAAATGAATGACATTTTTCAAAATACTTCTGAGAAAAAAAAAAGGATTACATTGATATTAAAGGTTATTTGTCAGCAAAACTCAAGCACAGAAGTTAAACCTCATAATTATCAGACGTCTTCATTCGTTTGTGATTCTGTAACAGTCGTTAAGGATAAATTATTTGACACCTTAAAATTTGCACTTTGTTCTGCCTGACACAGAGTTACACTTCATTCAACCCGTCTCACACAGTGTGACACAACAAGCTCTTAAACATCATCACTGTTAAAGTCAGAAGGCACTTGGAGTCTGAAAGCTCTGCTGTGAATCGTGCTCACTCAGAAATATTTGATGAAAGGGATTTTTTTTGAAAATGTAACTAAAGAGACGCTCCTCTGACCCGACACAATTACTCACAAGTTATTCCAGAAGATTATCCGACCCTGCTGAACTCGGCCCGGGGTTTAGTGTTGGCTAACCCACCGTACTAACAGGATGGTCGTGATCTTTTAAGATCCCAAAGTCATTAAATTTTAAAGAACTGAAGAGTTTATGTGGCTATTTTTGGTCTTAAACTACGCACCTGATAGGATGTACTGTTACAAGCAGACTGCTGTTTGCTGATCAACAGCAGACGTGTTTCTAAGTCCCAGGTGTCAGACCGGTAAATGTGTGTGGAGCTGTGAGATGAGACGCTGCTGTAAAACCAGGAGAGCCACAGACGACTAACTCAGACACCTCTGTGTGAAGTTAATTAAAACAAATAAAAATGAGGTGCAGTGCAAACCGCTGGGGAACAGCCAGAACATCACAGGTCTGTCATTAACTGTTAAAGTCTGTGTGGAACGGCTTCTGCTTGAAAAACAAATACTGACCGACTGAGTACAAAGTGTAGCTGCATTAGTCAGATAAACAGATTATTAGCCTGGTCACCTCACAGAGAGAAGGTTTTGGGTTCAAACCATCATAAACAGTCTCATCTCTCCTTGTGTCAAAGGCTGGCTCCTCTAAATTGGATGGCACAGCAAAGAAGAGCTGAGTGTAACAAAAGGCCTTAATGGGGGTAAAAACAGCAAAATTATAAATGTTATTAACTGTTTATATTGGTACTGGGACATACACAAGGTCTAATTTCATAACTGGATGTGAATGTTTCAAATACTGCCGAGCAGCTTTAATCTCTGATATACTGTCTACTAGGGCTGCCACAAACGATTATTTTGACAGTCGATTAGTCGCCGATTATTTATGCGATTAGTCGACTAATCAGATCATCATCCATTGGACGTACAGCTTATTGCACCAGCAGCATTTGCTCTTATATAACTATCATTAGCTTACAGCTTTAAGTGTTTAAGGTCTGTGCTAACTAAAGACAAGATGATAGTTTATTAAATTTTAATGAAATTTGCAGATTGTTTCAGTAAAGTTTAATAAACTCCTTGCTATCTAAAATATAACAGGACACCGGAGTAAATTCTCCAGCATCTCACACTTCTGATAATCAGCTGTCTGCTTGACGTTTATTCAGCTGTGTAAAAGCTATAACTTTAATCTCAGCCAAACCGATTTACTCAGGAACAAATAAAATGCTAAAAAAAGCCAAACAATAACATTTTTAAGTTATCTAAGTGACTCATATATCATGTTTAACCTGAGCAGCGAAAGACGGCGGTGGGTTTGAAAACGATTTGCCGGGAGTCCGGTGTTCTCACGACGCTAGTGAGCCTAGCCCCCGGCTCACTATCGAGCTAGTGGGTAACAGACGTCTCCGAAAACGTCGGAGCGCTTTTGAAAATATGCGGTGTCCTGATAAACTGAGCAGATATTTGAGGTTTACACAGCTACATTCTCGCCTGAAAATATGTTAAACGTTTATTTTGTGACCCAGAAAGAATAATAAGAGTAACATTAAAACTAACTAGCTGCCGCCATTGTTGGAAACTGCGCTGGGCCGCGCTATGAATTCTGGGACACAGCTTCTTCTTCTTCCGGGTTTAACGGCAGCTGGCATCCTTGTACATGCAATGCTGCCATCTTCTGTTTCAGTCTGTTATTACACTCTTAAATCCTGCTACTTATTCCTGCGTCTTTTGTGATCTTACAAAGCTTCAAACGACGCGTCGACTATTAAATCAGTTGTCGACGATTTTGATAGTCAATGTAATCGTGACTAGTCGACTAATCGTGGCAGCCCTACTGTCCACTATAAAACACTGAACAGTGTGCTGAGGAGGGGCTGATATTAACCATTCAGTCGGCATGATGCCGACAGGATACAATCAATAAGCCACAACGGACTGACTTCAACACCGCAAATATGACATAAAGTCACATCACATGCGGCATAACGTGCCGCCTTCAGGAGCAGCAAACGCAGAAGAAGGAGGATACTGAAGAAAGTGCAGATGTGCACCTAGAGAGCAGCTGTTGGACCTTCACTGAGGGCCATCTCATCTGAAGCTCCGCCCACACACGATGGCATTCATTATTTAAGGCTAACAGGTGTTTTTACCTGGAGACACAAAACATTGTACCAGAGTTTGAAAGAAGAAGTCTGAGAGGAGTTTGTCTCACAGCTGCACTTCATTAACACAAATGAGCCAGATGTTGACTGATTCAGAACAGCAGCATGAAAACATGACATCACAGCTAACCACAACATAACAAGCATGTTTAGGACTGATTCTGCATCCCTGTGCCGAACACATGATAGCAGAGCATAAGAACAACTTATTCCAACTGTTTTGTCTTTGTGTTTTCACTTCTATGAGGATATTGAAATACTTTATATTTTACATCTTTCTGGCTTAATCAGATTAATTATCTGGTGTTAAAATGTTAAAAACATGCTCTGGCATTTTAAAGTTGTTAATTCAACTTCCTGAAAGTCAAAAATATAGAAACTGAGCTAGTCTTTGACATAAATAGATGGAACTGATGCCATGACTTAAATAAAGTATTTATAAGGAGTCACTACTACCTCCTTAAATAAAGGTTACGCTGACTTGTTTCACCATCTTGTGGTACAAAGTGGTATTGCATGAAAGCACAGCCCAGCCTTATTGTGCTCTAGTTGATATCTCTTCAGCACAACACACAGATGTTGTGAACATAAAGTCACAGCAGTTTTTGTGACTTTAAATTACCACAAACATATTCATAATATTTTTCCCGACAGGTGTTTCAGGGCCCTGACATCTCACCTGTATGGGTTCCCGTAGCGACCAGATTGTTATCACTCCCCCTTGGTGCCTTTCCCACATTTTTTGCAAGCGTGCGACGTCTCTGCTGCGTGCGTTCCCATGTGGTTCTTTAGCGTTGCGGCGTATTTAAATCGTTCCCCACAGGTGTTGCAGTGGTAAGGCTTCTCACCTGTGTGCGTTCTCATGTGAACAGTTAAATTGCTACTTCGACTGAAACTTTTGCCACACGTTTCGCAGGAGTACCACTTTTCACCCGTGTGCGTTCTCATGTGAACTGTCAGATTCCCGCTCTGAGTGAAACTTTTCCCGCAGATTTTACAGGAATACGGTTTCTCACCTGTGTGGATTGCAGCGTGTTTTTTAAACGCGGATAAGTTGGTGAATCTTTTCCCACAGGTGTTGCAAGCGTACGGCTTCTCACCTGTGTGGGTTCTCATGTGAACCAACAGAGTCGCACTGTGCCTGAAACATTTCCCGCACGTTTCGCAGGAATACGGCTTCTCGCCTGTGTGGATCGATGTATGCCTTTTAAGTGCCGATAGGTCAGTGAATCTTTTCCCACAGGTGATGCACAGGTGTGACTTCTCACCTGTATGATTTCTTTCGTGATATTTCATGAAATAAATCTGATAGAATCTTTTTCCACAAGTGCTGCAGGCGTACGGCTTCTCGCCTGTGTGGATTCTGTAATGTTTCTTCATCTGGAAATTATACTTGAAGGTTTTTCCACAAACGTCACATTTTACAGACTTTTTCCCCACGTCAGGTTTACGCTGACTGTGTGATGTGACAGCTTTCGCGGTGCTTCTGGTACGCTGATGTAGCTCCTCTGGCTGTGGCTCTGCATTTGTCGTAGATCCAGAGTCCACATACTTGTGCTGAGGTTCACTGAGGTCACTTTCATCATAAGTAAGAGTCACCATAATTGTCTCGCTCTCCTCCTTCAGGATAAGCTGCTCTCCCTCCTGACCGGTGTAGAGCTCCTCCTGTTCCTCTTTAATCTGTACTGGTTCTGGTTTCTCCTGGTCCACAGCAGAGGCCTCTTTCTGCTTACAGAGCTCGATGGAAACCTTCTCCTCCTCTTTGCAGTCATCTTCCTGTGGAAGGTCTGCAGAGATAAAAGGGAGAAAGAATTAGTTCATACTGTGATACGACAAGGTTTGTTCTGATGGACGATGACGTCTCGGATTGATGAGGGTCAAAGTGACTGATGATACCTCAACAATTAGCCCGATTTTTATGCAACTTCTCCAGTTGCTCATTATGAAAATATCATGTTTATTCTGATATTCATAATAAATGAAATCTTGGCTTCATGTCGCTCCTCCACACGTAACAAACACCTGCAACACAAATGTTTCTGAGCATGTTTGGGCACAAGTTCACGCCCAGACTAGAGATGGCACGATACCACTTTTTTATGTCCGATACCGATACCGATATCATAAATTTGGATATCTGCCGATACCGATATGAATCCGATATAGTGTTTTTTAATCAACAAAACTGTTTTTTAAATATCTTGCTGCATTTTGTATAAGTTCATACTCAAGTTTAAAACAACAACTACACTAAAGCTATTCTGTTATACCTGTATGCAAAAAAAAATATTTCATAGTTCAGCAATACTGATCAATCTAATAAACTTAAACCTACACCATCCTCCCTATTCTGGTATTTTAAAGAGTACTTAGCGTAAATATTGAGCAACCTAACTAATAGGGTTCCAACTCCCAGCAACAACAAAAATAAATAAATAAAAAATAGGGAACCACCCCTCACGCTCCACCTCATGATGCTTAATCGACGTAATCAACCTTAATTTGATGCAGTGTGAAAAAAAATGCACAGAAATCAATTATTTTTCAAGAAATATTAAATAGATTCAACATCTTTCTTCAACAAAATTGCAGAATTCACAGATGGTACCTTCCCAAAGGGAAAAAGTACTATAGCTTACTAGGGTATATATTAGACTTAATAGTTACTATATACAGTAATGGACTTCTATTCATTTTGCATCAAATTAAAACTTTGTGTGTCAGATAATTATTTATTAAAAGCTAGACATTTTAAATGAGAATAAGAAAGAAAACTATGTCTTTGTGCCCCCCTTTTCCCTGTTAATGCCCTATCGGCCCCCCTGGCTAAACTTTGCTAGATCCGCCCCTGCACAGTTACCAGCGTCAGCTACGTAGAAAAAGATCCTCGAGTAGAAAGTAATATTAAATACATTCTAACAACAGCTTATCAAGCTTAAACGTGCTGCTGTTGTTCAGCCGCTGGTTTCCTCTTTCTGGTGCAAAGTGGGCCAAAAACAAACGAGAGACGGACTCATGACAGAAAAGCCGATCAGCTGATCGTTAAGCAGTTTCATGATTGAAGTAGCAGCAAGAAGAGGCAGTCGCTCCATATATCGCTTGTTAAGCTTAACGCAGGAATGCTTTACAAACATTCAGAGATGGACTTACACACTTGCTTTACTTCTCTCGGGGATAACTTTGTCGGAGATGAAATGCCGGGTTGCTAGCGAAGCTCCACATGCTATCCAGACCACCGACAGGTCCGGCATGCCACAGCCGCTCTATCACGTGATGCATACTGCTCTGACGTGCTAACGTTCTGAGGTGAGTTACGGCGTGTTGCAAGTTTTGTGAGGTGCTTTCGTGATATTTAATGGATCGGATTACATTTTTTATTTTTCTCCGATATCCGATCCAGTAATTTAGGTATCGGACCGATACCGATACATAATATCGGATCGGTCCATCTCTAGCCCAGACCTCTGCTCAAGTTAAGTCGTGTGTGGCGTGGCAGGTGACGATCCATCATCATCAACTGAGAGATGACAGGAAGATATTTTTGACAGCTGGAGCTTCTTTTATTGTTGTTTTCCCCAAGCATCTTGTGACCACATTTACTCTTTAACTCTGAAAAACCTAAAATCTGAAAATCTACCTGTCTGATTGTGACCGCTCACATCGGGGCACTTGTCTTTGATCCCACTGAGTTCTAAAGTTGCAGAAACAGAGAGAGGCATCTGCAGAGTCAACGGCCGAGCGCTCATTCCTGTTACACGTCTTTGAAGAAGAACTTCCTCTGGATGTCCCTGCCTGCAGCACACGTGCAGCTGATGCACCGTAAGGTTAATTCTCCACAGATGAGTTTGCACAGTGATGAAAAACAGGCATATAAAACCAACCGAGTGTTTTCTTCATTTATTTTATCCCAGATGTTGCCACCTCAGTGAAGGTTAAAGAGTTACCGACATAAATGAGTATCCTCACAGAGTGTGACCATCAACGATTGCTGGCTCCTTAAACTGGTACTCACACATCAGCACTTTCAGGTCCTCTGCTCCAAGCAGTGCTTTCATACTTTCAGTTAAGTCATTTGTTTGAAACACTAAACTCTTAAACTTGTGTGCAGCCACTGATCATGCAACCCAAGAGTGTACAGGGCTGTGAGCCTGAAAATCATCAGCGTTGGTTCCTAGTCCAGTTGTATCCACAGCATCAAGGTCATGGGCAGATCTTCTATGGGCAGTTCAGACCATCCAGAAAGGTCTCTGTGCCCCCTCTGCTGAATTCTACTACATATTACTACTACTGCATATTCTACTGAAATACTTCTACAACTAGAAGTAAACTGAAGTGATAGTGTTTGGTAATGACAGAGTTAAACATCATCGTCAGAGTAAGATCAAGCTAAACCTCATTCATCTGTAAATGTCTTTAAAGCCCGAACAAAAGGAAACGAGCAGAGATGAGACGCTTACAGTCTCAGTGTAAGCGTCTCTGGCTCTGTCCACCATCCAGGGGAAGAAACCTTTTGCACTTGTGCCGTTTCTGGGTGCATTTCTCTCTCAGTGCACTGAGACAGAGCGCGCAGGGTCACGACATGTCCAGTGTTACCCAGGATTACCCGAGCGCAGTGACAGCATCAGCCGCTTGCCTCTCTGCCATTAAGGGCTCGGTGCCTTTCTATTAGAACAGATACTGTTACTCAGCAGTGCTTTATTGTTTTGGTACTTAACTTCGTCTAAAATAATAAAATGAAAGTTGTGTTATTTGTAATGAAGGAATCATCAATAACTGCACATAAAAAAATGTTAGGGCAATATTTCTGTTTCATGTGTTTGAAAGAAAAAAAGTTACACATGAGCAGTAACTGTCACTGGTTTCTGGTGTTTTCCAATAAAACCAGAGTGAATTCATACTGGAATGATACAGCACGGTCTCTGGCATTTTCCTGCGGCTGCTGGCTGGCTTTTACGTGTGCACCGAACCACAAATGTCAGATTTAAAATATATTTTCATTTTAAATTGGAGAAACTAGTCAAAGTCACCACATCCCCGCTTCAGCGGCTCCTTTGTCAGCGGCTCCTCCGCGCTCTCCGCCCCGGCTGGACTCACCCTGTGACGGCTAAGCTAACAGCGTCCGCCCGGCCTGAGAGCGCAGCGCTGGTCCTTCTCCTCCCGGGCCTGCTGCCCCACGTACCTGCAGAGTCTGCAGTCCAGCTCAGGGCCCGGTGCTGCTGGTGCAGCTGCTCCTCGTACTGCAGGACGGTTTTCTCAAACTCCTTGAAGATTTCCTCCGCTGCAGCGCTCAGACGCTCCTTCACGAACAGCCTCAGATGCTGAAGAGCGGACATGGTTCCTCCAGCAGCTCCACCGAGCCTCAGCGATACAAAACACCGTCAACCTCCAGCTGCCAGCTTCCGACGTCCACACAGCCGTGAAGTTTCAGTCCACTTCCGCCGGAAGCTGCTTTTCCTCTAAAAATAAAACGCGCTCTACGGAAGCTTAATGCATCCACTGGCCAAGAAATACAAATTAAATTTATAAACATTTATAACAGAGTTTTTATGAAAGAGCTTTTGTCTTCTTCTGGCTGCTTCCTCATCGGGATTACACAGCAGTAAATCCTCGCTCTTTCTCGCCCTATCCTTGGCATCCTCCTCTGAGCTCCTCCTTTCCTCCTGCCTGTCAGCTCCATCTCCGGGATCCTTTGGTCCTTCCAAACCAGCTCAGCCTTGCCTCTAACTTCATCTTCAAACTGCTCCACCTGAGCTCCCCCTCTCATATACTCATTTCTGACCACAGGTATTTAAACCCATCCACCTTCAATGCCTCTGCTCCTCGGATCTTTAAAATAACACAAGGTTTCTCAAGGATCAGGATATGAACCAATCACTCAAGAGACAAGGACACCAACATCTGCCAATATTTCAGTCCTAAATCAAAATAAAGTGGTATTCACCTTAGTGAGGGCTCATTATTGCTTACTAAAATCCCCAGATGCTCTTTGGGATTTTAAGATATGTTATTAATTTGGAAAAAAGGGACACGATTCTTTTTTAAATCAAGCGAACGGATCACTTCTGTCTTGTGAAATCAGGAAACTTTCTAAAAAATAAAATAAAACAACAAAAAAAGTGCTTGAAAATGTTTCCTCTATAGTGACTTTAATAAGCACAGGCCTACAGTATGTGGTGGAGGCACTGACGCTTAAAAGTAGAAGAAAGCAGCAGTCACGCATCCTGTGGATGGTTTGTGAAGTCTCCAAAAGTTGATTCTGTTCATCTGGACGTTTTCAGTGGGAGAAACGTTTCGTCGCTCATCCAAGTGCCGTCTTCAGTCTCTGACTGCAGGTTTCCCCAATCTTATAAACAGACATTTGCACAATGACTGAAATCAGTCCACTGAGGGAACATTGGCCTTGGAGGTCAGTTCATCATGATCATGCAAATTGTCATGACCATTGATCAGTGGTTGTTGATCAATGGTCATGAGTACCATTCACAGAGAGCTGGGGAATGGCTGCAATCACAGGATTGTATGATGGTGAAAGATGTTCCCTTAGGCCCCCTCCTCGATTCAGAGATGGTCTTTCCTTTTCACATAAACGGCCTCCTTTTCTCCCGCTGCAAACGCTACGTCCAGATGAGCAGAATCAGCTTTTGGAGATTTACTTACCTGGATGATTGATCATCCATCAAGACGTTTGTGAAGTTGTGTTTGTCCTGTGGACCAAACCACTGAGAACTACATGACGGGAGTTTATGTTTCTGAACTAAAAATGTATTTTCCCCTCTATAATTAAATCAACAGCTTTCACTGCATGTACACTGATGCACTGAGGAGGGCGCCTTCCTTATCCCTCTTTCATTTCCACCATGTACAGTTGCATTATTACAAGCACATTATAGGTTTCAGATGTTCTATAAAAGCCTTCAAATGTGGAGCTTTTGGAACTAAACAACTTTAATTTATTCAGATCTAGAAATACTTGTTCCCTCCTGTTAGTCTCTCCTCAGCATTGGACTGGAGATATCAATGATGTCAGTGTGATTTTTCAACACTTTCCAAATTTATCCAGAGGTGTGATTGGACCGTTTCATTGGCTGAATCTGGCCATGTGTCTGACACCCCAGACAGTGAGCAGTCTTTGAGTGACTGAAAGAAATGTTAAAGGTGTTCTCATCAAAATCACCAACGTTTAATTCAAAAAGACATAAAAGAGATAACACGATCTTTAACATCTTTGAGGCTCTTGCCAGCTCTACTCTTGCTTTTCTCTACAAACTTATGTTGACTGGACAACAGAGAAAAATGATTTCTGCACCATAAACAAACACCTTTTTTTAAACAGACAAACAGAAAAGTGTGTGAGTGACGACAAAATACGGAAACATGTGAAGGAAGTGATTTTATTGTCGGGGTTGGAAATTTATCACACATGCAAACAGCGATGTCGAAGCCGTGTATCATCAATATTTTATTAGCAAACCAGAGAGAAGTTAACAAAAGAAATCATTACTGCAGGAACTGAACATCTGTGTTTCTGTACAGATCCAAATATACTACAATATATACTATTATACAGGTGGATTACAATTCATGTCATTAGTACAGCAGTCACAAAGAAAAACTTCAAGTCTGTTACAGCAGTGTCGTCTGATCTGAGCAAACTCTCCTCCTGATTCGTGCTGCCGACCTGCTTCCTCTCTGACTGATGATGATGATGATGATTCGGCTATGGGCATGCTATGCTAACATTCCCTGTTTTCCTCAAAGTGCTAAAGATTCATCTGAACGGCAAAAACAGAAGGACCGTGATTCTGAAACAGACTTTTTTTTGCTAAACCAGAAAACAAAAAGGCCAAAAAAGTGAAAATACAAAGACTCCAGTTCAAATTAAACACAGTCGAGATAAAAGAGTTGAAGCAGAACCTAAGTGTAAAACATTTTATGCACAGTTTAAGGCCTGATGATTCATTACAGAAGTAACATGCAGAGGTGGAGAAACATCTGTGTTGGCGGAAACTGCCTTCCATGTTTGTGATGGAGCAGAGATCGGTGCCACTCGCAGGTGTCCTGTTTTACATTTCACACGGATTTAACAAACGCGATACAGCGTCAGTGAGATTTAGAGTTCAGAGTCATTTCCTTTGTTAATGCTAAACTAACCAGCTGCTCCAGAGCACAATGAAAAACATCTGCACATTTCTACATTTCTACAAAAGCATCGAATCAGAGGACTGTGAGCAGAAATGACCCAGTTTGTTCCTGTAAAAATCAGATGGATGTTTGAGACCTCTGGTTTGATGAATCATGAAAAGAAACTGCTGTTTTTCTCAAGAAGTCCCTGAAAAATCAACATGCAAAATAAAAGTACACAAACACACACACCAAAACACTGTACACACCAGTGTACATCTCCTGTTAGAAAACACAGGAAACTCTAAACTGCTGCTGATGCAACAGTTTAGAGTTCACACTGAACGTGGACGTCCCGTCAAACAGTGAAGACGAACCTGCTGAAAACTGTGCCATCAGAGAGGATTTCAGGCAGCAGCGCCTCTGAATAAAAGTCCTAATTTTTAAACAAATCTTCAGCCAATCACATGTTTTTACAAATAATTCAGTACTACTACCCAAGAAAAGACTGAACCTCTGATGAAGCTCAAAGCTGTACAAAGGTTATGAAAACACCTCGAGTGTGTGGCCCAGAAATGATCTTGAACTTCTTGTTTTGGTGCCGAGCTGCACAAACTTTGCCACAGCTAACCTTGTTAGTTAGCTCTGTTAGCTAGCTGCATGACTAGGTTTGTTACTATAACGACGCCAGCAAAAAACAACAACAACAAAGCAAAACCCACCTCTGAACATCAAGCACTGAAGAAACACATACACGTGAAGCCTCCCTTATAGAGCCTGTCCATATGTGACAGTGGCAGCATTTGCATTAACGTGCTCCTCTGGCTTCAGTCTGCCTGCCAGATGCTGAAGAGTGAGCTCTAACATCTGGATCTGTTTCACTGTTTCATGCTGAAAGAGGGAAAAGTTTCCTCTGCAGCAGGAAGAGCAGACACTGACTGAACGTAGAAACCACAAGCCTGGAGGCCAACTTAGAGTTGTAAAACCCTTCTGCAGTGTGTGGTGAGCAGCTCTGAACGAGCTCCTCGTGAACTAAAACTAAGATCTGCATGTATAGGTGACAATAGCTGCTTGTAATTCACAACTAAGACGTCCATCTTCAGTGAAACCAAACACTCTGTGTGAACAATGAAAACATTTAAAAATGTCCAAAATCATCTTCATCAGAAACCTGGGACCCTGCTTCTGTGAGCTTATTCAGCAGCTGCATAAAGAGCTTTATGTGATAATGCTTTCATTCAGTGGTTTTCAAACTGTGACGAGCGCTGGGCCTCATTAATGGCGTCACTGCAGGTGGAGCGTGGAGGATGAAAATAGGCTCAATGAGATTATGCTTTAATAGAATAGACGTGGCCAGAAAACAAGGAACAGGTCAGCGAGGATGATACTTTTGGACATCTAGTGATGGGCTGAACGTCTCTGCGGATTTGTCTTCAAACACACATTTACTTTCAGGTAATTCTGACAAAAACAGCAGCTTCTTTATGATTCATATAGAACGAGCAGACATGTGGACAACAGTGTGAAAGACACATGAACAATGAGAAGAGTCACATGCTGCGACTCTAACCTGCCTGATGTTCCAGACGTGGAAACACAATCCACAAAAGCTGATTTGACACATCTAAAGATACTTTTTCTTCCTGCAGCGTTACAGGAATAAAGGAGCGGTTAAAGCCTCGGGGAAATAAAAATAATAAACTCTTGTTCTGTAATCTGGTGTCGCCACACTGAGGGAAGATTTAATTAAATCTCTCAGTTCCTGTTTGTGGTTTGGTTTTTACAGACGAGAGCTGATGATCGACGGTCACTTTGTGTCCCGTCGATCCTCAATTTGTACAAGTGAATTCTTTCTCATTCAGAGAGTGAAAAACTGTAATATATGATTCCCAAAAGCTGTTGTTTTAAAAACAATAGTTTACTTGATTTCCACAATCAGTGCATCTCTATGAGACGCCTTCACTGACAGCAGGGCCACCTGGTGGTGAGTCTGGGAGGTTCAGCTGAAATGTGTAGGTGGTGTTTAGACCTGGAAGTTCAGTTAAGATGTTTGCATAGGACAGAAGCACAGAGGCCCAGCGAGGACTTCCTCCAACCAAAACTTAGATCAATCACGAGAATTTAAACTCCAGTGAAAACTTGAACCTGGTTTTTCTTTGGCTGTGTTCTGCTTTTGAAAAGAGAAAAAATGAAGCGAGAACCAAACCTTAAATGTTAGGAAGGAGCAGAAGGTTCATCTTCAGAGCAAAGAAGAAGAAGAAAGCCTCCCGAGGCCACACCAAAGCACCACTGAGACATGAATCCCACCTGAATGGAGCTTTAGGTTTCTTACTTTGACATTTGGGCCTTTTATGAAGTAACCTGATCAGCTGATGAGCACATGTTTAACTTTTGGGATGTGAAGATCAACTTGTTCACAAAGTATTTTCAGAGTATCTCCATAAGGAGGAGCCGTTCGCTTTAACCTGCACAAACCTCCGCAGCTCATTTTGGATTTTCTATAAATTCTACAAGCTAAACGCTTTTTGATTTCGCTGACTCCCATAATACTTTAACTGTGCTCCTGTGGCTAAGACTCATGGGAAAGGTAGTTGTTGAGCATAAGATAACAGTCCAGTGCAGAGTTATTTTACAGTGTTTTCAGGTAAACCGAGGAGAAGCTTCGACCTCCAGGAAGTTCATTACTGCTGCACATTCAACACGGCGCCACCTGCAGGCAATAAATACAATTTCTCTTCGTTGCACTGCACTCAAGTTCATATTCATGCTCACATCTCAAGGCATTTCATCTTTAGCTTCTAAAGCACCAGATATTTGCTTCATGTTTATGTCCCTCTAAACCTCACACAAAAGTCTTTTCAGGTACTGATTTCAAGAGTTTTAATAACAAACACAAAATAGTCCAGAGCAGAGTGGATCGTAACATTTATGTTCAAACACGTCGTGTCGAGGTCGTCTTGGGAATTTTATAGTAAAAAAATCATAAGTGACTCTTGTTGACTACATGTGCATCTCTAACACATCTTTGGCATTTTATTGCTACATTTACACAGATTCTCATGAATCTGCAGTGTTTGGAGATCAGATGAAACTTAAATTTAGGTGTTAAAAATTTAAAATATTTAACCTGGGATACATAAGGTGAATAAAAATACAGCTGGAACAAATATGTGAGAAATAAATTAGTTCTTGTTTTTAACACGTAACACTTTTTGTCAAACCCACATTTACACACTGGCAGTGAAGTGGGGTACACAGGAACCCAAACTAAGATCTTTTAAGAAGCCCGACCAACCAGAAACATCCATTAATGAAGCTAATGGCCACTCGAGCTTAGCCTTTGCAGACCCGCAAGTAAAAATATTAAAAATTTGATGAACTGTAAACAATGTTAATCGTATTTAACTTATTCATTTGGACACTGATAAGGCTTAAAGTTTGCATTAATGGGGGCGTGGCCCTGACAGGTGGGTGGTGACACAGGCAGGTGTAGCTGTTAGGCTTCAGCTAATCAGAGTCACTGAACGGGACCTCTCGACTGTGTTTGTGCTGTTGGAGCATTCTGGAGAATTTTTTAATGACGTTTAAAATTGTGACGAGCGACCCATCAGCTAAGAGACCGTTCCAGTATTTTATTTGTCTGTTGATTAGCATTAATCACCAGACATCTGTGCCTGTGTGCAGCTTATGGATGCAGCTTTCTGCTCAAACCAGCTACTGTTAGGTGGTAACTGAGCAATAAAACTTCTCATTTAAATATGGTTACACTCATCTGATGCTCAAAAAGCCATAAAAAGAGTACAAATACAACAAGGCCGTCTTTTCCATACAATCAACCTAAAAAGCAAATCAAATGTCAAGTAAACAACAAACAAAACAGAAGAAAAAATTAAAAGTGCAAAACACAACGGTCCAAATGGGACGCGGACCACCAAACAACTTGTACTAACAAACCAGCTCATGTGGACTTTGGAGGTCTCGCACAGCACATGTTCAATACTGCTACAGGCACAGATATCGACAGACGCCTTATTACTGATGTTGAGGCGCAGGTGGCATCACACAAAACTGCAATATGTCACACGTGGAGATGAGAGCGTGCGGTTAAATTTTAGATACAACAAATAGAAACTGCAGTTAGTTCTCTGCCTGGAGGTTGTGAGGGGCTTCATTCTGATTTTTCTAGAATATAAACCATTAAACTGGTGATGGTTAGAGGGGCAAAAAGGTAAAGTAAAAATATAAAGTCATCAAGGAGGATTCAGACAATCAAGCAAACACAGATCAGAGTTCTCCCTGCAGAGCTCAGACAAACGGAGGGTGGAAAGCAGATTCTGAAGGCATTGATGCGTACGGACGCCGGTGCACTTTTCAGAGCGTGCACTTTGACGGAAGCATGTTTGCAGGACGCGACGCTGGCGGCGGCCAGCTACTCTCCTTCCTGGTGGCAGATTAAGACTTCTTCTATCTACAGGAATGCGTCTCACTGGATTTTCCTCCTCGGAGATCAGTAAGTGTTCACAGCGAGAGGATTAGACGTCTGCAGGTGGGAACCGCAGGCCTAACGACAGAATCCCGTCACCTTATGGACGACTCTGCGATATACTGTGAGACAGTTGTTCACGATACATCATCAACTTAAGAGAAAAACTTATTTTGAATCAACGTGGGGATCACATCGTTGTATTTATTCATTACCGTGTTAAATTTTCATAGAGCGGTGCTGACAGGCGAGCTACAGTGGATACAGTGTAAACACACATGGCAACGGCTTCTGCAACAGATCTGTGAAACGGGTGAATCGATGACATATCGCAGACAGCGCGTCACAATATATCGCTTCATCGACGGCTGTCCCACCTGGAGTTCGCAGCGGCGAGGACAGTCGGCCCGCTCTTAGTCATGCAGTAAAGACAACGCAACACGATGAAGACCAAAGCTTGAGGATCCGACCTGAGGTGTTATGACCCACAGATGCCGGTCAGGCGGGTGCGGGGATGGGGCGGTGCTGGGGCTCAGGCGTGATCAGGAGTGATCCATGGGTTCGGTGGCGTTACTCTGCCCGGCGTCCTGGCTGTCCATCTCCTCCGGTTCCTCCACCTTCTGCTCAGGTTTGATGGCTGCCGTTGTCGACACTGCAGCTGGCGGTTTGTGGTCGGCCGTGGACACCGACTGGTCCTCACCCGCCTGGCTTCCGGCCGTCGGCTCCTGGGCAGCCCTACCCCCGGAGGCGGTGCTCTGCTGCTCTTTCAGGTGCCGCTCCATGGAGGCCTGGATGGAGGACACCATTTCCTGCAGCTTCCTTCGCTGCTGCTCCATCAGGCTGGGGTCGAGTCCACGGCCGTCCTTCATGGTGACGAAGCCTGGAGCCATGCGGACCAGCTCCCTGGTGGTGTCCTCGGGGATGTCCGACAGGTCCGGGGGTCCTCGGGACACGCTGGCACTCAGGTCCACGCCACTGCTGTGCTGTCGTGTGATAGGGCGGTGTTCTGGTGGTGAGGAGCCTCCGGCGCTGCCCAGAGAGTGGCCTTTTCCCTGAAAGGCTGTGACACTCTGCAGCTGCTCCTTTTTACGAACAACGCCACCGCTGCCCAGCCGCAGCACGCCATGAGAGGGACTACCCTCTCTACTGCCCCTACCGGATGCCTCAGAGCGTAGCTGCACCAGGGCCTCCTTCACCAGTTCCTCGACATCAGGCCCAACAGGGAAGTGACCGGCAGCGTCCACGCAGAGCTCCAAACGCTCCTCTGCTGCATTATAAACAAAGGTTTTCCCTGTGAGGTGAGGCAGCGTGCAGTGCTTCCCGTCCATCAGGCCTGAACGAGAGAGAGAGAGAGAGGTCATTCCCAGCTTGACATGATTCACAGTCTAAAATAATCCTTATTAATCTCATCCTGGGTCTTGGTCTGAAACAAGCCTTCAGCTCTGCCAACTCTGATTGGCTGCCCCTCACAAGAAAAGGTTTAAATCAGTAGGCAAGAAACTTTTATTCTCACATTCAGACACAATTTATATAGAAAAAAAATCTGAACTGCAATTTATGGGAGACTTCTCAGATACTACAGATGGCCAGTGTCCTCCGCCTTCCCCCAAAGAGCCAATCAAGTTGAAGCAGGAAACATATTCGTGTTATTGCATTGATGCCTGTGTATAAGCTCACAAACATTTCAGCAGCTGTAACGTTGTGAAACTGTGCAGTGCAGTGGGAGCAGAGCATGTGAGGGCTGTCAAACTTTATTGTTTTAGATTTAACTTGTAATTTTGTTTTTCTTTAAGCTCTCTTATTATCAAACTAAGCTCATGCTTTTAGTTACGCGCTCTGAAACACCTGCAAAGATTCAAATGACCATATTAGCGATATCCCCTCTTAGCGCCGTCACACAGATCCAAGAGTAGAAAAACAGTGTTTGGAGAACTGCAGTCGGAGCGTTTGGCTCACAGCGAGTTCGCGGCTGACTTGACCATCCACCATTGTAACAATATATCTATGACAGGTAAACAAAAGCACAATAGGTCAACTTTAATAACACAGCTGTTCTCCCTCCCTCGGGTGGGATGTACCAAATATATTGACAAAGGTTCAAGGGTTTGCTTTCATTTATGCTGCGGTTAGCTCCAGAGCATCAGATAGAAACACAGCAACAGTCTGACAATCTGACAACAGGAAATAAGAAGTCGCCATAAAGGATCCTGTGTTATTAGTTTTTGGTTTGCAATAACTTACAATAAAGAATATGACAGATAAAAACAAACTGATCCTTTAATCACACCAATCTGCTTTCAGACATGTCTGAGGAGTCACGTGCATGTGACAAGAATCGATATATTTCAATCAAACTTCATCTGACTGTAAACTCTGACATATATTCCTCTGTGCTGCAGAGGACCAGAGCTCAGCACACATCAGTGAGCCACTCCACGTTCCTTTATTTACCAGAAATCTGGGCACTATCATCTAATCGAAATCCTCTCCACATGTTTACAACAGACCCCGTTTTCTTCTCTGGGAAGGAGTTCCTGTAAGGTGTGTGCTGGGAACCCGGAATATGGCACAAATGTGGACCACTGGGAGAGCGCATTGATCATCAGGTCTGGGAAGAAACATTTCATTTCCTGCAGCCTCGTGGATTTTATTCACTGAACTTTTCTGCTCTCAGGCGTCACCTGATCAGTCGCGTGTGTTTCTGCTACATTTCTGCACATGTTTAAAATCTGTCTAATAATTAGTTAGCAAAGAAGCCTTTAAAAAAAGTAGCTCACGTATGATAAGCTCCGGTTCACAGTGATGCAGACACACAAACGCACATGTATAAATGTACCTGCTCTGTAACACAGAGCCTGCTTACCCATGTCTTTCTTAACGATGTTGTAGAAGACGCCGCCCTGCTGGAATAAGTGTGGCAGCTTCTTTGCGTACGACCAAACATCCTCACCTGAAACAAAGACAAACATTTTAAAAGGATCCAACGAATGAGACGAGGTCCTAAACACAACACAAGGTTAAAATGTGTCTGTGTGAGCAGGACGCTACACAGGACAGCACAATGTAGGACCACAGAAGTCCTCGGTGTCAGAGTGCAGAGGCCACAGCTTTGGCAGGAACGTGAGCGGTCAGAGCAGCACAAAAATAAACAGAGACCGAAACATCTGAATGTAAGACACAAGAGTGGAAATACAGTTGATACTCTGACCTCGCCATTGTTTGGCGTACAGTGAAGCCGCTGATATGTAAAAATATATTTAAAACTGAAAGCAGTGGTGGACAAACCTACGAAATGTTTCTTGATAAAGGTGTGACATCACATTTATTTCTACATGATGAATATGAAGCTGCAAGCAGCAGCTATCGTCAGTCATTTATAGAAACCTCTGTGGTTCCAGTATGTTTGCTTTCACACTCAGTGAAGCTCACACCACATACAACATCTACAGCTGTGATGCTGATGGTAAAGCCAGGCTAGCGATTCCCCCTCGTTTTAACCTCGCACTGCTGCTCATGCTGCTGCTACTCTGTAGGAACATTCACATTTTTATATTCTACATTTCATCTACATTTACCGTCTCTTGTTTTAGAGGTCCTCTAATAAATGCCATTGTCCTTCAGCTGCTTCATATTTAGTCTCAACAACCTCGACAGAAAATATCAATCCACTTGTACTCTCCTGCTGTGATGAAAATGATCCATCTCATCTGAGACATAAACCCTTTTTTATTGCAATAACAGTCATCTAAGCCAATAAATAAATGTCCAGTCTGTCACTGATCATTGTCTCCGTTAATTCCCAAATCTAAAACTTAAAGTGGAATGTGTCGATGTGGGTTTTTCTGCTGAGAAAACCTAAAACGGTTCATAAATGATTCAGTTTCAGGCAAAGTTATTATAGTGAACCAAGAATAAATTGGCTACAGTAAAAATAAAAACTAGACTTTGCAATAAAGCTACTGTAAACAATATTTTTTCACTTTATTTTTCAACACAACCAGCCTGAGGAACATCTGGTGCATCTGTTTAATGAGTCTGGGACTTGAATGTGTATGAAGTGTGTTAACCTTTAAAATTTTGCACCTGACAAAACCTCCAAATATATAAGAACAAAACTAAAACTACCACCAAAACTCATGAAAACTAAACTGAAACTCATCATTTCCAGACAATGAAAATTGAAAGTGAAATGAGCAAAAACAACAACTTAAGCTTAAAATGAAATAAAATCTGGTTTAAGGTTAAATTTTATTTGGTGTACAAAACCACTGTCAATAAATAAAGGCGATAAAACCATATTCAGGTGTTTATTTAGCTTCAAATATCCTGTCAGTAAAACAGGGACTTCAACACTGCACTGATGCACTGAGTCCATTTGAAAGTGCGTGACGGTGCATTTCCTTTTGTTTGTGTGTTTATATGTAATGCACGTCGCACATATTCAGCTACAGGTCTGCTCCATTCAGCTGTATGAACTCTGAGCTCTGGGCTGGAGGCACTGTCTGGTGAGCGGATGCTTTGTTTCATCCTGGCCGGGGCCGGGCGGGGGGATTATTGAACACGAGCTCGGTGCTGACAGGAAGTGCAGCGTCAGGCCTGCGGAGCGCTCGGAGCGCAGCCGAAACCTTCCTGAATATCGACAGACGCTCTGTGTGTGTCACACGGCCCGATCTGTTTATCCTAACGCAGTTGTGACCTTTGACCTGATTGGCAGGTGAGACGGGGAGGGAGCGAGTTGCTCGAGTCAGCAGATTCTCACACTCACACACAAAACAAGTCTCTTGTTTGCTCATGGCAGCTGATCAGAAACCTGGGAGCTCAATCAGCTGCTGAGAGCAAACGGCAGTTTTTTGATCACCTGCCTGCACCAGCCAATCAGAAACCAGCAGGCATGTGCGCTGCACACCTGGAGCTGTTCTCTTTATTCACACACAGACACACACAAACACACTTCAGCTTACTCTGCAGTCTTAAGCAAGCAGCAGCATCATTGCAAGAAGACAATAAATTAAACACGACGATGATCCATCATCATCATCACCACATTCAATAATATGAGTGAACACAGAAAACAAAGACATCCCCATGCTGGAGAAACTGGAACAGGAGATGTTTACTGTACAAATCGTTATCATTCTGACTGATTATTAATCAATAAAATAAAGTGCTGTATGATATTAACCTGACAGCACTCTCTATAAACACACCGTCAGCCCCAGCACAGTAGGTTTGTATCGTCAGGAGCTCAACCTGTGAACAAACATTGACTATAGAGATGCTAATTATAATGAAAATATAAACAAGAGGTCAAATTAATGAAAGGGCAGACAGCAGAACGAGTTCAATCGTTATCTTTGAATGATTAATGATCAAAAGTTGAACTTTAAAGCAAACTGAAGCACCAGCACTGTCATGTTTGAGGAAATGTTATTTTTTCCATACCAGGGTTTTCTCTGCATGTACTAAAAACACATTTGACGCCAATCGAAGCTGGCTTTCAACCAAAGGAAAATCACTGCGACAGAAGATATTAAAACATACGTCGGGTTTAGTTTTACTCAAGGTTGAAGACATCTTTGCTAATAAAATGGCCAAAAAGACTTAAAGTCAGTCGACACATTCTTTGCCTCAACTACAGTCATGGATAATTGCATGTTCACCCCCAGAAGCCAGGACACATTTTTATCATATTTTATCCTGCTTTTATTAAGTCTAATTGAACCTTTGTGCTTCTTTGTATATTTACCTGTAAATAACTCACTGCTAAGTCACAGATTAACTCTGTACAGTAACAAGCAACAGCCAAGAGCCGGACTGAATGACTGATTCAAGTTATTATAACTGAAATACACGTTTCCTTATGCAAGCATAGGAAAAAGAGGACTGTTTTCCTTTAGCTTTATTGTAGAAAGGAATGTTTCTAAAATCAAACTAAGAAGTGAATTATTAAAATAAGAAAGTAGCAGCAGCCACTTGGCTCTGTTAAACCTGACGAGCGGGTTTTAGCTCCTGAAGTGCAGAACAACACAGGAGAAAAATAGTTTTCTCCTGGCAGCCTTCAATCAGACCAACAAGCTTTTATATCTTAGATCAAATGTGACAAAATCAAAGCCTGAGGATCAAATCTGGCCCTTTGCAAAATTGAATCCAGCATGGATTTCATTTAATAAGGCAGACGATTTCAAGACAGGCCCACTATCTGCTGAAAACGGAGACGATCACTGATTTCAAAGAACGTAATCAGTGTCTCGGCTGTGATATTCGAATCCACACGTCAGCAAAGAATTCAGGATTCACAGCATCTTTAAAGTGAAAAGAAGCTGCAGCTCCAGCACAATAACTTTCCTCTAGTGACATCTCAAAGTGACACAGCTTGTTTTTATGTGCAGCCAGTTTCGCTTCAGAAGGCCGTACGGTACAGGTAAGCTGTGCGACCAAAGATCTTTTGCTCTGCTTTATATCAGGATGGATCTTATGCTCTGAAATATCCTAAACTTACACTTCCTGTCACATTCAGTCTTGTGGCACAGGTTGCTGTGATAATACATTACTTTGCTTCACTCACTAACTTACTTGGTACCCTACATGTAACCTTACCCATCAACGTTGCTAGGAGACAGAGGGAGGACATCTCAAGGTCGATGCTGTCCTGGAGTTCCCGGCTGCTCATTCTTCCGGGCGTCACGGCGTCCTCGCTCTTCACTGAATGCAGGGCGGAGTGCGAGCTGGAGGCTCGGGGAATGGAGGCCGCAGGGCTCTTGTCCTCTGGGCCTTTTAGGATCTCCACAGTCACCCTGTCACCATGCTGCAGCGCCACTGGCTCGTTTTCCTCGCCATCTTTTGGTGGGACCAACTCCTTAGGTGGGAAACCGTAGCGGATGCATTGCTGCGCCGGCGGCACGCTGAACTGGTTGCTGATGCTCCTCTGCAGCTCAGAGAAGGTCGTGTGGGCCTGCAGAGTCAGCATGGCCTGTCTGCCGTCGCTCGTAGTCACACGAATCTTTTTCTCCTTACTGGACGAAGACGGGGAGGAGGACTTGGTGGGTGTGGCTGGAGCTGAAGAGGAGGAGGTTTCTGGAGAGCCTCCGGGTGAAGAAGTCCGGCCCTGGCCTTTCTGCTCCTGCTTCAGTTTGTCAGTCCGACGCTTCTGGGTGACGAAGGCCTGCTCGCTGATGCTCTGCTGGATGCTGCGCTCTGCTCGGCTCATCGTTAGCTCCTCCTTGTGCAACGTCTTCGCTTTCTGTCCCGTCAGGATGATCTTTGTGGGCGGCTGGGGGTCCGCCGGCTGCTGAGACTCTGAGGCATCAGTGAGGCGCTGGACATGAGCCCCGTCGATGGACACGGGGTTGTATTCGTCCGGGTTCTTCTTGGCCGTGTGATGGAGGATAGTGTTGACCACTTTCTGCACCAGGATCTCACTGCCAAACTCGCCCGGGAAGTGCTTTGTGACGAGCTTCATGGCCACGTCGTACACGTTGCTGTTCAATGAAGGGTCAGTCTCATACTGGAACCAGTACACTGTCTCTCGCACCACCCGACCCCCCCACTCCAACGTGATGGGGAAGGCCTCGGGGAGGTTGTCATACTCCTTCCCCTCCCAGTAGTGTTTGAAGCCACACCCACACTTCCCTCCCTGGGAGCGGGTGTTGGTTCTGTCCCCATCCAGATAAACCACCGAGCCGTTTCCACGGATATGGCGGACTGACGTGCCGTGACACCAGTTGCAGGTGTTGAGGGAGCTCAGTTTGTAGTCTGGGAGGAGAACATCCCTTTGGGGGTCGTAAGAGCAGACCACATTGTTGAGGGGGAAACTGTAGTTCTTATCCGGCCGCAGCTGGCCGTGTGTGGATTTGGCTAAGTTGTAGAGCTTACCGCCGGGAATCAGCCACTCCGGTGGGATGTGGAGCTCAGAAAGGGCGCCACAGATCAGGCAGCGATGCAGCCGATTTTCCATCACTGACTTCTTTGCCGCCTCTGTGACCTCCTCTGGATGGATGCCAATCACGCCAGTCCTCCTGTAGACGTACTGGTGAACGTCAGCCACCAGCGACGGGTGGATGCTGTGCTTCTCCATAAATACCTCCTCCATGGCGTTAACTAGCCTCATCAGATATTTATCCTGCAGGCTGCGATCTCCGCCAATCACGCAGCTCCCATCCGCTTCTAACTTGATGTACTTCTTGATGAGGTCCTGAGGGACGCCCCAGGCCTTTGGCAGCAGACGGGGTGGCAGCTTTGGCAGCACCGTGTTCTTGATTCCCACCAGAGGGATGTAGTGGTTCCTGCTGGAGCTGCTCCAGGCGATACAGATGGGTTTGTTCAGCTTCCCATCTTTCCCCTTGCACTGCTCCTCCGGCACCAGTCCAGGCAGGAAGGTGGCAGAATAGTCCCCGGAGCTCCTCATCCCACTCAGGGAGTCCAGGAGAATTATGGGTCGGTGGAGGACGTTGGCTAAGCCAAATATGTGGATGTTGCGTAGTCCAAGGGGTACGCCTTCTGGTGGGATGAAAAGAGGGTCGCACTCGTTGATGATGTCCTCCCACTCTGCAGCATCTATAAAGTCCTGAAAAAGTGCCTTGTAGCGTTCCAGATTCTGCTTGAAGTTCTGTTTGAGGTTTTCACGGAGGGCATGCCAGAACAGTTCTCTCCCCACCAGAGCTCTGGACACAGCGTGGACCAGGCAGTGCCCGTCTCCGTCCACATGCACCGGGATGAGACACTCTCTGTTGCCGTTGGCTTTCTTCACCTCCTCCAGAGTGTCGTGGAGGTATATAAGGCTCCCTGACCTATCTTTGCCATAGCCTATGGTGGAAACATGGTCCGGCTCAATGAGAAAAGCTCTGTCTCCCAGGATGGAACAGTCAAACATCTCCCCTTGGTTCATCTCCCTCAGAAGCTTGGCTTTGCCGGTTTGTTTGTCCATGCCATACCTGGTGAGCACGGGCGACAACAGCTTGCAGTGGTAGTTAGAAAGCCCCATCACTTTCACCAGCTCGGTCCCCTTCTTCGGGGCCCCGGTGACGCCGAGCAGGGCGTTTCTGAGCAGATTGTGAAGCACGACATCGGGGTCGGTGACTTCCTCAACGTTCTGCAGGTTCTTCTGCTCGTGGCGCTGACCACACTCGGTACACTCGATGCTAACGGAGCCGTAAGCAGGAAAGAAAAGCCTCGCCTGACATTTCGGGTCTGGGCAGGTACCAGACAAAATACGCTTGTCTTTTTTCTTTGAGCTCTGCAGCAGCGACATTTTGGCTGAAAAAAGGCTGACGCTGTGTGTCAGCTTCACAAAACCATGATATTCACACTCCGGCGAGGCTGTCAGGCGAGCTTTGACTCCGCTAACGACAGTTATTTTACAAAATAACACAAGAACAACACGGAAGCGGCTGTTTTTTCCTTTAGCTGTTCGCCGTTGCTAGACGTACATACGTAATGACGTCAGTTACTGGGATTTGTAGTTTTTTTCTCTTTATCTATGTTTAAACAACTACGCACCAGCATCAAAATGACTGCATTTTTATCTTTTCCCTGTTCGAACATTAGCTGGAAACGCGAGAAACTCAAACAGTAAAACGCGTATGTCGGGTTAAGTCGTGTACATTTACGACCTTAAACCCAGGTTAACTGCATTTACCAGAATGCAACGCGTCACAGTGACGTGTGTTGTGTAAGGAAGTCAATTCGGCAGAATCATGTCAATTTGGACTGACTGGGTTTGCTTTTCTTCTTCTAACGTATAGTTTTGGTCCCCACAAAATCCAGTGAAATACAGTTTTCACTTACGTTGTTTATAGACTTTTATTGTGCCCTGTGGTTTGCACGATCTGGGGCACAAAACCAACAGAGTTTGGATTAAAGACACTGACAACACGAGTTTACCGGTTAGCTTAGCCGTTAGCCATCTGGGAAAATTAGCAGGGTGCCGAGCAGGGCTCGCATTGAATATTTATCATTCCATTTAAATGTCGTTGCTGTAGCCAGCGGTAACTGGATCTGGGACGTTTAGGGAAACCAACCGTCGCCGAACTCCATTTAGAAATATGTGGATTTAAGTTTCCTTGTGCGCCGGTCAATACACTGAATTCACAGAGCTATATTAAAAGCTTTGTACACATTTTAAGCTAGTTGTGACCAATGCGTCTTAAATGCGATGCATCAGAATGCACTTTATTTCAGGGCGAACCAACGCAGGCTTGATGCTGCCGCCTGGTGCGACTCCCTGGCAGGTGACTCGGGGAACAATGACATAATGGTTTTGGAGCAGTGACCAAGCAAAACAGGACCCTCTGAACACTGCAAGGACAGAAACACAGTTCATCTTCTGAATGCTAACTGTAATATTTAATAAGACTTAAATAAGATTGTCTCAGTGTCACGTTAAGCACAAATGATTAAAATGATCGTAGATGTTTACAAAATCACCAGTAGAGATGATGCATTACAGTGTAGCCCTGCAAGGTAAGGAGCTTTGCATTGTAAATGAGTTGTAAAGTATGTTTAACTCAAGTATATCAGAGTCTAGCTCAACCCCCTAAATAAAAAACAATGTTGAGCTTTGGAGCTCTGAGATGCCTGTTTTCTAAATAAGGTTGCATGAACTCCTGCACTCCTCTAAATGAATCTATTAAACCAAAGAGTGCCTGAGATTGGACCCAGGGACATGGCTAGAAGGGGCTGGGAACGGCTTTGCAGGTGAACCACAGTTGGACAAATTGCTGTCACTGAAGGGAAGCAAATACTAATATAGCGTACTAATAAAGAAAAATTCTATATGTCCAATTTGAAGGTACATCTCAAGGTGGCTTATGAAAAACCAGACCTGTGATCCCGTTTAAGCCAGTGTGACATATTTTTATTTGTCTTTCCTGTGTGCGTTTTGTTGTGCTTTTCCTTACAACACAAAGCACCTTGAGGCGACTGTTGGTGTCAGTTGGTGCTATATCAATAAAACTGAATTGAATTGTGCTGTATCTATCAATGTGACCTGCCCAGGGGCGTCTAATGTAAATAGCATTTTACTTAAATTTTTTATATTGAGGTCCAGTAGGTACCGTACTTGTTAAATAAACAACCAGAACCAGTGTAAACACTCGTCCACCCTTTGTAAAGCAAATAAAACAGAAGCTTTGCAATTTGGTGTAGTACCTGCGATACTATTTGTAGTATTACATTGTACTATATTCGTATTACTCTCTCCCACAGTCTAATTTTTTCACTCTTCTTTAGCACAGACTATGATGAAAGATCTCTTACCTGAGTGGGCGCCGTGTGCACATTCAGAGCAGTGGGCCAGTCTGAATGCTTTTGTGTGACATCAGGAGAAAATATCCAGCGTGAAACTTGCCTTGAACAGGTTCATCTGTTTTCAGTTCACAGTAGATTGTGGGCCATGTAAGAGCTTGAGTAGCTTCTGCAGCAAAACGTGAGAGAAAGGTCATTTTGACTTATACTAAGTGTGATTTTGGTGCTGAAGAGAAGGCGTCTCTTTGTGATCATCTGCACACCAAAAACATCTAAAATAAAAATTTCACACCATCTTTTGGCAGTAAATTATTCTTTGCTTTAAAAATGCTGCAGAAACAGTTTTATTTTTGTGAATTCGCAGAGGCACTGCCCCTGGGACTGTATCAGCATGAGCGGCCAATTCTGTGGTGACCCCTTGTGGCAAGAGCTGAGAGTAGCTTCTTTTTTATTGCATGGTTGAATACGGTTTTGTTTTTCTGCTTTTACTGTCAGACGTAACAGAAACCTGACACCATTTTCTGTGCTGCTGCTGTCCAGCCTGGCTTTGGATCTGGATTTAAGACTGCTAAATGCATTTTTCTGAGAAACAGTATACTGACAAGTGTCAGGGTTTATTTATTTATCTCATTCAGTAACAAACAAACAAAAACACACAGATATGTTTTGAAATTCTGTGAGATCCTCTACATGCCAAATAACTTTGTCAAATGAGAAGTGTTCATGTTTATGTAAAACATTTGTACATGATAATAAATGTCATATATGAGTAAAGATAAATAAGTTCTCTACGTACAAAGAAACAGAACAAGAGCAAATCTTTTTTTCTTTGGTTTCAACAGTTCTGACCACAGACGACTGGATCTTTGAGCACCATTATATGACTATATAATTCACCTTTGTTCTTCATAGGAATGCCCTTTGATTTTGAACTACTTAGTTCTTTTGAATAACCACATGATGGCGGTCTTATCCTTTTCGTTTTTAATCTCAGCACTAGCAGCAAACTCAAATCCACAAAACTTGTCATCATATGTTTGTTTCAAACGAACCACAGAGACCTTATTGAAACTTTTATTTACTGTGGTAAGAAAGAAGGGAAACAAACTGCCAGACAAATGTGGAAATCCAGCATCACCTTCAGAGACGTTACTTAAGTTTAAAGCAAAAAAGGAGACACTGAGGTTTTAAAATCTTTAGTTGTTAATATTTTTACAAGGCAAAAAGTCACGAAGACACTTTGCAAATGTAACATAATTGTGAAATTGACCAAACTATTAATTAAAACATTAAAAATATGAACAAAGTTATCAGTAAGCTTTAAATGAGCCCATAACCTGCTGTGTTTATGTTTTGAATTAACAAAACTAAAAGGGGCCAATAAAAATATTGTTTTAGATGATAAAAGCTTTTACCAAAGGAAATGAATAAACTTCAGCCCAAACATTCAGACTGCACAACAAGATTTTAAGATTTTTTTATTAAAAATAAAATAGTCTGATTTGTTTAAGAGTAAATCTACGTATAAACATAAGATACACTAAATTATAATGAAAAACTGGCAATACACGATTATTAAAGGCCTTATAAAAACACTGTTTTCACTGTTTACTTGAAAGCACCGTATAGAGCCTTTGTTAATTTTATTAGTACCAACAGTCAGGATTAATACAAGATGCATACACAGTATTTCCACTCACAGGTAAATATTTGTATGCAGACTGACTATTTTTTCCCAGAAGTACACACTGTGTGAGTGTTACGAGTTTAACAACACTCCATCTACTCACCTGTAGTCACACAGAAGCCTCTTCCGTGAAAGCCCATTTGAAATGGTGCTTATAATCAGCAAATACACTAAAGTGTGCTCAAGTGCACAATTACCTCTCTGGCTTTGCAACAACATCACTGATCTCTTTATAACTTTTATTTTATTTTGGAAGCACAGTGTGGATCTCCAAAAGATCGGCTGCTTTGGCTTCAAAATAAAAGTAATAAATCAAATTGTATGTGGACTGTAGGGGCTGTTGGGAACTTTAAGGATATGTTAGAAATCACGTGGCCCTCAAAATATATAACACCGTCCAGTCATTTTTAGGATTCATGGGTTTGCAGCTTAGCACCTTTAAACGTGTTAACAGAAGAACTTTCAGGTCAAACATTTAACAGAAAGTCTGAAGTGTTTCAAAATACTTCATCCTCTAGCTGGGTTTGAAAAAACAGACAACTGATCAAAATATTGCAGCAAAAATAATAAAACAACATAATATAACATAAAATGGGCCTGATCTCTGATAACAACGAGACGGCCTACCTGAAGGAGATTAGGAATCTGGAGAACTGGTGCCAGAGGAACAACCTCCTTCTAAACGTCAGTAAGACAAAGGAGCTGATAGTGGACTTCAGCACTAAGCAGGAGAGGAACTACCAGACCCCCGTCATCAACGAGTGCCCAGTGGAGAGAGTGGACAGCTTCAAATACCTCGGAGTTCACATCACGCAGGACCTGTCATGGTCCTGTCACATCAACACCGTGGTGAAAAAGGCCCGACAGCGTCTCTACCACCTCAGACGCTTGAGAGACTTCCAACTGCCCTCCAAGGTGCTCAGGAACTTTTACTCGTGCACCATAGAGAGCATCCTGGCGGGAAACATCTTAACCTGGTTCGGGAACAGCACCATGCAGGACAGACGAGCTCTACAGAGGGTTGTGCGGTCAGCTGAGCGCACCATCCGCTCCGAGCTCCTTGACCTGCACTCAATCTACAGCAGGCGGTGCTGGACCAAGGCCAGGAAGATCGTGAAGGACCTCAGCCATCCCAACAACAGACTGTTCTCTCTGTTGAGGTCAGGAAAGCGATTCCGCTCCCTGAAGACCAACACAGAGAGACTGAGGAGGAGCTTCTTCCCGCAGGCGATACGGTCAATCACACCACCACACAGTACTGACCCACACATATGGTTCTTACACACACACTGGACTTTCTGGACTTTGTTTCACTTCATCACTTAAATCACTTTAAGCATATTTGCACTGCACAAGACATAATGTGGATTGCACAACACTGGTCACTATATTCTTCATTTCCAGTTAATACTTGTACAGCTGCTGTTATTGTGTATATATTTATTTATATTTAGATTTCTTCATACATTCTTATAT